ATGAACACACTGACCCCAGCTCTACTCTCGCCACTAATCCTAAAGCGGCAGAATTCGAGTGGGAAACAGGCAGAATACAGGCTATATCTTCTTGCCAGGAGTCTCAATTGTAGGGGGGGGGGTAATGTCGTGGGTGTAGCCCTGGCCTCCTATTTTATTTCCATTTTCTCCGATTTATTCCATGTTTATACGACCCTCCAAACGTCGTCGGCGCATTGGCGCCAGTTTACAAGTCCTAGCCGCGCGCTAACACCTTGAGAACGCATCACCGACGAGCACGCATCAGCGCATCAGACGCGCCTGTATCGCCGCCACATCACGCTTCCTCAGTAACAGCCACACTCCGATCTCCACCGGACATCCGATCTCCGTTGGCCCGACAATGTCATACGCTATGATGCGCCGGCCCCGTTTATCTCTGAGTCCGATTGGCAACAAACATCCTATCCCTGTCGGCCCGACAAACGTCATACGCTATGACACACCGGCCCTCGCCTCTTCGCCAAAGTCCCCTAGACACTAGCAGCCGCCGTAGCACAGTCGCTTATGTAACGCCTGGTCCGTGCGCAGCCTGAGTAGTATAAAAGGGACCCCTTTGTCGCTACCTAGCCCCATCTCAACCTCTTGGTTATTTGGGCTAGATAAGCCTTTGTTTGTATTGTAACACAGTCACTAATACAACTTGGTTATTTGGGCTAGCTGAACAAGCTAACGCACAGTTGCCAGACCTCGTCGGCGCCGCCTTTTGATTAGATCCACCGAGTATCCCTCGTGGTGCGTTGACGCAAGTCCACATCAGTGCTTCTGGGTCATTTGTAATACAGAGGGCTCAGATGGTGGTATTCAACATTGGCTGGAACTTGTCGCTTATCCCTGTTGATCCGAAACCTTGGTCTCCTCGATCTGTCACAAGTAATTCTTCCACTTTCTGGAGCTGTGGTTGAGCAATTCTTTCCACAATTACCTGGGCGATGCGGTTGCCCTTGGTGACAGTGAAAGGGGTGTTTCTGTGATTGACCAAGATGACTTGTATTTCTCTGGTGTAGTCTCTGTCGACTACCCCTGCCGCGACGTCGATTTCCTTGAGCACTAACCCACTTCGTGGAGCAATACATAGGTAGGTGCCAGGTGGAGACGTCATTCATAATCCAGTTGGTACCTTCGTCCGAGTGTGAGAGGAAATGACCAAGTCTTCTATTGCAGTAAGATCGTATCCTGCTGCTTCTGGAGATCCTCTTGTCAGGATATCTCCTCCATCGCATTGGAATAAGAGATGTTCAGTGAGGAGTTGTGCATCGTCAGCAGAGGACACCTGAATAATTCAGCCTTCCAAGTCTGATTCTTCTTTCATAACGACCTTTCGAGTGGTGAAGTCGAGTATTCCATATTTCCAGTTGATTCGTGGGTTGTGATGTTGTAGCCAGTCGATTCCTAGGATAGTGTCTTGCTTCCCTAGGTGGGTAACAAACATCCGTTCCTTGGTTTCTTTACCACCGATTTGTACTGTGGGTTCTACATAGTTCCGGATAAACCTGAGTTGGTTGGGAGTTCCATCAACATTGAATACTGGTATTGGCTTGGCTAACAGATATTCACGGAGTTATAGCCTTCGTACCACTTGTCGATTGATGAACTTGCCCTGGGCTCCGGAGTCGATGAGTGTGTCAATTGTTGTTCCAGCATTTCCTTCCGATTTCATGATGACAGGTAATTTCATTGCCTGGGCCTTCATGTCTGCTACTAGTACAAATGAAATCGAAATTCGAAGAGGTTCAATAGCTGGTGTTGACCTCACTGGGTAAAATCCAGATTATCGTCCTTTCCTGTGCAGTTGTAGTAGTGATTGTAGATAATTTGATCGAGGTCAGGCAGCAGGATGGAACTTAACATGGCGTCAACATCGATGCACGATGGAGTTGTAGGAGTTGCGTGTCAATCTACCGGAATTGGGTTGCTGACTGCTGGTGGATGAGGGGAGTTTGGATTTTCGTCCCATTGAGTGATTTGGATGTAGGGGCGATTTCCGGATGGATCGCCTTGATAGTTTCTCCAGTTTCCTCTACTTCCTCGGCTTATGCCCCTCTGATTTCCTTCTCCTCAATTGAATCCTCTTCCACCTGCTTGTCGGGGTTGCCTGCATTCTCTGGCGATGTGCCTGAATTTTCCGCAGTTATAGCATTTAATTCTGCTTTGTCCAGTGTTAAGGGCGTCGACGTCCATAGTGTTGGAGTCACAGGTGTAGGATGTCGGAGTGGTTGTCGTGGTCTTGGAATCGGTAGGAAGGTGCGCCTGTCTGTTCTTGATATGCCTGAGAATTCCGAGTCTATTATCTAGCTCAAGAGCTTGCTGTTGCCACTGGGAGAGTGTGGCATTGATCGGCATATGGGTGATCAATTGGCGCGCAAGAGATTCCTTTAATCCACGAAGGTATTGCTAAAAGAGGTTTCTGTCAGCATCTGGGTTGACTATTTCTGCCTCTACAATCAACGTGTTGAAGTGCACGTTGTACTCGTTGACCGTTTTATGGTCTTTCTGGACGATCTGATGGAGTTCGACCATGGCTTGAAATTCGGGTCAGTTGTTTTGTAGGCTTCCAGGAATTCCTGGCGATGTGTAGCCCAGGTGGGCCATCTTTGAAGAAGATACAACTTCTCCTTGACCATTGTCCATTTTCGGGGTTGCTTCTTCCCCGAATGTTTCATGAGGGAATTGGCAAAGCAAATCTTCACTTGGTCGGTTGGAAACCGCGAGGCCTTGGAGAGAAAATACATTTCGCATTGGTGGATGAAGTCTCGGGCTTTCTCAATATCTTTGGAGAACTCAGCTGGTTTGCCTATTTCTTCTTGGGGAAGTGCGTTGCGCAGAGTGGCGGTGAATGCTGCTAGCAGCTGAGAGTTGATGGGGTTTGGTCCTGGGGCTGTGGGAATTGGTCTTCCTCCACCTCCTGGTGGACCTCCTCTGCCTCCACCTTCTGGTTGTCCGGGAATTCCTCCTGAAGGTCCTTGACCTCCGACATGGGTGGCTACAGCCCATACTGGCACTGGTGGTGGCGGATTATGGACATATTGTAATGCCTGGTGTAATTCGGCCATGGTGGCTTGTCCTTGAAAGTGTGTACATTGGAGGAGTTCTTCGAGCAACTCTTCATCGGTGAAGGTCGTTGTCTGTGTCGCCATGTTATCTCCTGGCAATTCTGGTTGTTGCTCGGTGTCTTCAGGCTCTTGATCAGTGTCTGAGAGGGCTTCGAAAGTGTCCGTAAAATTGTCTCTGAGGTCTCCCTTTTCTCTAGCTTTGATGCGCTCCGCTGGTTGGTCTCTGGTAATCTCAATAAGTCAATCAGAAATTTCCTCGATTGCTTTGGCATTTGATTCGTCATCTCTGTGTATGCAGACAACTTCTCTGCACCTGTGCCACTTGTTGTCTCGTGTCCAGAAATGGCAGTCTCATCATTGGCTGGTGTGGTGTCTGTGTGCTCGATTCCGGCACCTTTCTGGTGTAAAGTTCAGCGCTTCGCTGACTCGTAGTTCTGGTGATAGGGGGTTGGACTATGTATGTCTGGTCACCAGTGAAGAGAGCTTTGACCTAATGTAAGAGTCGGAATGCGTAGAATATGGACTTAGGCGAAGTTCAGGAATGATATAAAAAAGGACTGATAATACAGGAGGCTGAAGCTACAGTACACTACATTTCCAGAGGGTATTTATACTAACCTAGCTACTGCGGATCAGCGTAGAAGGGACAATGTATATATTAGAGTGTACCTGAAATGGAAGGGTTCGGAAATAGAGAGGAAGTTTTGGAAATAGAATGGAGGTTTTGGAAATGGAACAGAGGTTCAGAAATGGAAAGGAAAAAACATATAGCAGGACCACGGACCGATTGTAACATTCTTGAGAGGAGCTGACACTGAGGGGCTAGAGAGCGGACAAGCCATAGCTGGAAAGTAATGCATCAAACCCATAACAGCTCCGTGCTGTTTGAACTTTCAGACATCTTCCAAAGGGTGTCGTGATGGCAATATCCTTTGCATTCGATAGGCGAACTGTGGAGAGAAGTTGCGCAAGAAGGCTGAGTTTTGGTGTGACTATCTCAAGCTCATGAATCACACAAGAAGTGCTCTGACCATGGATGGACACCTTCGAGCCAGTCTTCAGTAGCGTGAAACAAAACAAAACATCTGGTGAGAGGTCCGCATCTGTTGCAACACTCTCCGTATCAGATTGAGCAGCCTCCTCGTCCGAATCTCCCATGCTGTCATTTGCGAGTTCAGGCTCATCAACGTCAGTAGGGCCGGTAGTGTCCCCATTCACGGTCACATGTTCCAAAGTGTCACTAACAGCGTTGACTGCTCGTCGGAGCTCTTGAGAAATGTCTTCAGCAAGGCCAGCCTGGACTGCTTCAACTGCAGATTGGATCGCACCAGTTTAAAGAACGAGCTGCGCTTTGACTCAGCAGGCCTCGCCCTCAGAACATGGTAGGCTGATAGCTAGAGGAAACTTTGTGTCTGCACGGAGCTTCTCCGTGAGCAGTAGTGCCACTCACATATGCTTGCAGGCTCCACCTTGCTCTTGGAAGTTGGGACACATCCATGTTGCATTACCACGCAGTCCGAGAACAACCTCATATGTGATCAGATTCTTGTCATGTGGCGTTGCAAGTGACGAGTAGCAGGCGAAGCGGAGCACAAGCGTGTCTTCGAGAAATTCAGGAATGCCAATCTGCTTGCGTTCTAGGAGAGCCTGAGCTCTGGCATCACGTGCAGCATCAGGCCCTGTCCAATAGGCAACTGGGTGCAGCTGGGACTTGCTTGACTGAGTTTGATGTGCTGCTCGACGCTGTTCGAGAAGCTCTCACCCACCAGGCAAAGCTGCGATCTGCGCCTCCCATTCAAAAGTCGACGCTCTCACGGCTGCCCGCTGCTGGAATATTGCAGGCAGTGTCTTAGTGATTGACAGATGGACGAAGACATTGAGTCGGAGCAGCTTTTTGTTGTGCTGCCATCACTTTAGATGCTTCCTTTTAAATACGCCGTTGAACGACTCGAGGTAATTTGTCGTTGGCAGCACTTCCTCCACTGCGCACTCCAGATGAACAGCAGCAACACAGCGTCCAAAGTCTGACCAGCTCTGCCACAGGGCCTCCCTTCCCCGGTAGTTCTGCAGGTAGTCCAAATGCTCTTGCGCGCCGTAGATCAGCGCCAGACCATCAAGGGTCTCAGGGCCGACAAGCGAGTGATTGAAGGCTGCGAGCACCTCTCGCTCTTCCTTGATGAAGGCTAGAAACGCGGTGTGCTCCTTAGTTTGGACATGCTGGGTCTCGAGGCGCTTCATACGTGCCTTCAAGTCATGAGCAAAAGGTGATGTGCCCTTCAGAACACGATTGCGATGATTTTGAAAGGACTGACGCAGATGGAATTTGCAGATGAGCAGCCAGATGTTATCGACGACTGCTGCTAATGTGTTCCGTTCCATGAGATCAGTGTCAGTGATGGCAATGTAGATGGTGAAGGCCTCTCCATTCTTCGTCCCGAGAGCTAATTTCCATTCACGGAGCAGTTTGGTTAGGATCTCAGTGTCATACCCAGCAGATGTTTGCTTGTTCTTGTCAGTGCGGAGAACAGCAGAAAGGCTAGTGGTGCACCTCTTCCCTCCTCTTCAATGCCCATAACAATGAACAATAACATCTTCCGGTTGCAGACATCAAACGTGCCATCAAGGATGATTTGAGAGTGATGTGCGTACTTCCAAGCTGCTTCGCGCATCTCAGGTGTGGCAATGCACACCTTCAGCCATTCTTCACAAATTGTCCGTGCTCCATAGTAAAATACTGCATTGGCAAGAGCGCAGTTATATTGCGGTGAGTCTGGATTCAGCCATTCGTCGATATTAATGTGGGCTGTGGTTGTAGTGCAGACACCATGCATCCGGTTGAACTGGCGGTAAAGTGAGCAATTGTTGCCAGCATGTAGGATCCAACGGTATGCGCTCTTTGAGAAATTGCCAACAGAAGGCTGCCCAGGGTATGCGTGTGCTCGTGCCATGCGAAGGTTTGTCTCCTGGACTTCTGTAATATCTGTGCTGCACTTGAGCTGAGCAAGGGCGACTTTGAAGACCTCAGAATGCACTGGTTGCAGCGGGTACCGGGTAATGTGCGTCCTTGCATTCCTGGTTGTGCTCGAGGTATCCACGTATTGACAACACCATTTTAGATTGAACAACATAGTTAACCTCGACATGGGCAAGACAAGCAGTGAAGGGCATGGGGTTTCGATGTGTTTTAACCCCAGCCTGTACATGATTGTAGCCACAATCGCTAAGAGCTCAATAGTGAGTGCCAATCCCCTCAAGATTTACATCTATGGTGCACCACTGATACAGAATCCATGTACTTGCCCCTGCCTCCTTCCCTGTGGTTTGTATGTATCGCACACTCCACCGACTACCGAGAGCCTCCTGAGAGTTTTCATCAAGAGCCGCCATTGCCAACACTGCTGCCGCCACGAGCTGGTCGTATTCGGTACATTGATAAGTGATTGCTGTTGTCTTTGACTCATTGTACAGTGCCTTGACCGCACTCTGCTGTGTCTCCATGAGGAGAAGCTTTGATGTGTATACATAGGAGGCTTTGTGCTTTGCGCTCAATGTGACCTTCTCACCGCTTGCTTCCACAGCACTGATATTAGCAAACCGGATGCGCACCGGGTGCCGGTTAGGCCTGTTGGAGGGTCTTGCATCATCTTCTGCAGGTATGGAGGGAGCGGTAGGTGCACTGCTCATGGCAGAGAGGATGTGTGATTGTAAGTAGAGGTGGGTACAACATGTTTGAAACATGCACTAGTAAGGTGAAACCACACTTCTAGTCATATAAGTGCTTGGTTTATCTCCAAGATGACTTCACTATTTAATCTTGTGGCAGCTAGTATGCAATATATTTACTGTTTATAATATAGTTTTACAAGCTATAATTTGGCTACTGTCGGCAACAACAACAACGGCGGCAGCGGTGCAGCAGCGTGCTTGAGCCCAGTGTTGGAACTGACCCTGGGTCTGACCAGTCTGGCCCTTGGGGTCAGTCAAAGAGGTCAGAAAGGTCAGTCGGCTATTGCCGAGGTCAGGCTTGATTTGTCATGCCATTTATGTGAAGTTGTTGTTGATGTTACAGCCCTCAAAGATGGCGGCGACAACACATTATTTCTCGCGAGCTTGTTCTGGGTCATTTGAATTTAATTCCTATTGTAAGTTTCTCCCCCCCTGGCATCAGTAGATCTCTAAGGCTCCTCCAGTCTGCGATGCATCTGGGTAAGTGAATGGCCAGCATCTCTGCAGCGAGAACAGTGAGTGCTCGTTGAATGCGAAGTGATGTTTTGAGCCGTCTCCGCCACATCCGATGCTGAGGCCTGGGCTTGAATAGAGGTGCCTACAGATGAAGCTGGGCTGGTAGTGGCTGCCAAGTCAACTTTATCATCGACCAGTCATTTAAACTCGGTGACCAAAGCTATGAGGTCTGCGTGAGTTCCTTAAATCCTGACGTGTCAGCATCGTCTTCTAGTGGCAGCAAAGAGGGATCTGTAGGGACCAAGAGCTGGGAATCTTTGACACTGCTTTCAGATGAAGAGCCAAAGCGGCACTTGTTTTGTAGCATGGTATCGCTATTGGAAGTCCTTGCGCAGACACGAGAGTGAGCAGTAATGTGAAGAAAAATCGAAATATATTTTGTTGTCGGGAGTAGTTAGTATTGATATCATTGCTACCACTACCACCTGCTCTACTTGCCGTCTCCAACAGCATCGAGCAGCCTCGAGCAGCCTGGTCATCAATGGGCACTCGTCGGCTGTTTCGGGTGCCTGACCCCACTGACCCATTAACTGACCTTCAATTGACCTGACCGGTCAGTCATTTCTGATCCCCTTTGACCCGAGGTCAGCCTGACCCTTCCAACACTGCTTGAGCCATCCCACTGGGACTTCACATGATCTTCCGTAAAAGGCAGGTGGTTGGGTGGGCCCTATCTCCCCTCATTCGTCTGCTCAGAGCAGACAGGACCGGAGATCGACAATGACAACATCGAAGAGACGGATGTCGAACGTCGGTGTCGCAGGCTAGTCGCCAGAGTGGGCATGCAAGAACCACGTTGAGCTGGCTGGCTCCAAATTCTTGCTTGGCTCGCCTGAGACGTCGAGCAGGCTAAACGAACATCTGCGCCTCAGGATCCCTAGTCTCTACAAAGTTTTTCGCACTTATGCCTGCGGCCAGAAAAAGCGCCACAAGTGGGCTGTGGCATTGCGTATGGTGCGGCGAACACCTGGTTGGCAGAGGCAGTGGTGCTCTTGCAGATTTGGAGGACGGTATACCTGCCACGGCTCTTCAGCCAAGGTACGCGGCATATCTACTGTTAGCTACCAGTGCTGACTTCGTCATGGTCAGAGGGCATAAGGTCACAAGTTCACTTCGCCTGTGAGGCTTACCACGACATTGTCTTACCTATGATGAATTCCATGCTCAGGCTCGCAACTGCGACAACGATGATATCTTCACCTTTCAGTCTATACCCTCCCTATTTCTTGATGAGAGTACTCAGACATCCCTGTCAGTCTTGGTCGTTATCAACATTGAATTATCACGGTCCAAGGCTTATGCCGATGGTCCCTCAATGCCACCGATGCTCTCTCTTGAACACCCTGGTGGTCCTTCGCGTTCCTCTGCAGCGAAGGTCAGTTTGGTCAAGATCAAGCAAGATCTTAGCAACGTGTCAGACAAGATATTGTCATCGGCAGGAACAAGTTCCCCTATCTTACGCTTTGGCTATGGTGACGCCAAGCCCTCATCTATGCTTGACGATGTAGAGGAAGGCCAGGAGTCAGACGTCGAGGGCTTTAATGGACGCGGCTGGTGGGCCATGTTGAGGCGCAACCCGAAGACTTTGTGGTGCCGAGCAGCCTGCCTCAACTGCCAACCGCCGCGGTGGCGCAGAGAGAAGACATTTGGTGGGCGGGATCAGTTTTGCACCCTGTAGTCGCCGACGTGACATTTGTGATGACCCTGCTGAATGTCATCAGCGAAGGCAAGGCAAAACGATTGACAACCATGCGCGGGAACCAGAGGACAGATGGCAGTAAGTTCGAGCAGGCCGTGTTGTTGGTGGGGAAGTTGAGTGAGTTGCGGAGAGGAGATGAGGCACTGGTCAGCTGGGTATGTGATGCCTCAGGTTCGGCTGCAGTCATGCGCAGACCTTGTGTTGCGTAGTTTTGCTAGTATCTACTACCTGTTGTGTCTATTATGCCTACGCAGTGACTTTCGCTACCATCGTGGATCGGGAGTATCAATACTCATGTAGCGTACTGTACTACCTCTCGTTGACAGGCAGTCCCATACTTTATTCTATGAACAGCCGCATTCCCCTACTCCATGCCGAATGCATGCTGAACCCCTGCAGTCCTGTTTCGCAGCATGACTTCTGCTTGGATGACAATACCTTTTTTGATAATTAGCGCTCATAGGCTACACATCCTGCGCAGACATGTTCGGTGATGGTGAGCTCAACGCTCGCCCGAGGTGCAATTCCCCCCCTTCCAAGGAGAAGATACATAAGCGAGAAGTATTTGGGACTGCCAAACCTGCCGCGGACTGCTGTACATAGCGCTGTAATGCCATTTATCCACATCGTCGTTAGCTCTACAGTGCTTTTGCAGGCGAGATTACAACATAAAACAACATTGCAATTCATGCACCAGGTCTCAAAGAATATCGTGCGCAAGCTTGCACCATCCATCGCCAACCTCTGTTTGGCTGGGTGGGCAGCGCACCTGCGCACGCAGTGCGGCAGGGCAGGGCGCCAAAGGGCACATGTCTATTAGGCTCCTGTCCAACCTCCTATCCTGCCACCTTGAATCCAAGATACCGAATACCGAATCCAGGGGGAATCACAATGTGTGGGTGAGGGCTGGCTGGTGCCTGCCGGGGTGCAATTCCCTTGCCAAGGTAGAATTCCCTCATCACCAGCAAGAATGACTCACACACGGGGCTAATTAGTTAATATTTTCAGCTGAAAGGGGCACGAAAATCATTATGAGAATAGAAGCCAAAAAGACTGAACACGTTCTGGTAAAAACATACGATAGGTAAAACCTGGAAATAGAAGCCAAACAAAGACACCTTTTTTTGGTGAATCTTGTTGCAAAAAGCTGTTCTGCTTGCAGCAAAAAGAGGTACAAATACTGCTGGACTATCCATATATAGAATAATAAATACATTTTCTATTGGGATAGGCACAAAAAAAAGTATGCATCTACTATCTATTTGCTCAAATAGGAGAGCTGACTTTTGTCGCAAAAGAACTGTAATACAAATACATTAACTATTTTTTGGCGTTGCTGTGTGTGCCCGCTGACACGTTCACTGGTCGTCCACTGGTCGTCTACTGGTCGCCCACTAGTCGCCCACTGATCTACCTGCTAGTTGCCTGAACAGCGCCCATGAATGCGAGCGGATCAGGCAATGCAAGCAGACAACCCGCATGGGAGAAGACTCACTCGGTGTCGATCTCGCTCACGTCCCACACCTTGGGTGCCGACGGCAGCAGTGCCATGAGGCTGCTCAGCGCGAAGCTGTTGCGGCTCGCGAACCCTGCCATGCGCAGCACGTGGTGGCCTGTCATGTGCGCGACCAGGGGAGGCATGATCGGCCCCGGCGTCGATGTCAGATCCCTTGACGCGCACCTCGACGCTGCGCACACTCCCCGTCTTGTGGCGGCCCACGTGAATCTCGGCGCCAAGCCACACGTACTCGCCATCGCCGCCATCGTCGTTCCACAAGTGCACGTTTGTGTCAGCAGTGTGGAGCTCGTCATCGTCCTCGCTCATGTCCTCGCTGGGCGCGGCAGCGGCGACGCTCGCAATGAGTTTCGCGCCGAGGCTGCATCTACAGAGCACGCGATATGTGTGCATGAGCGCTGTGGCATCACAGTGCGTGCGCAGTGTGAGCAGCCTGCCATCAAGCAGCGAATGGTGCCGCGCGGCAGATAAAAGGTTGACGAAGTAGATGTCAAGGGAGGGGTAGATGAAGGTGTACGCCTCGGCGCAGTCGGGCAAAGAGGACAGACTGGGGAGCACAGGTGGAAGAGGCTTCGTGAGCACGCAGAGCCGTTGCAGGTCTTCAGAGGTGATGATGTGGTTTGCAGAGGGTGTCAGTTGGAGACGAGAGGCAGGAACCGCAAGCGAAGGGATGAAGACGACGGAGACGCATTGTACGGGAATAAGGAAGATATCTGCATGCGGGAAAATATTGAGTTGAATGAGACTGAGAGCGGCGTGTTGGTAGAGGAACAGTAAGTCGTGTAGGCCTGGTGAACAGCAGGCGAGACGATGATGGCGCGTGTGGCCATATCCGGAGCATCAACGCCACACTGGCAGGCACGCGCCGCAATGACGCGACGCTCGTCACGTCCGTCTGCAAGTCTGTGGCGCTCTCGTGTGAGTGCACCAGCATCAGGAGTGGAGACGACATGATTAATTGTTTGTGAGGTGATTAGTTGCTTGTTTAAGTGGTCATGCATTGTAAGTGGCAATTTACTGGTAAGTGACCACCATTGTTTTGGCGATGAATGAGCAATGAGTGGGCAATGAGTGGGTGATGTGTGGGTGATGTGCAGGCGATTTCCTAGCAAGTGGCCATCAATGCATGGGGCAATGAGTGTGCGCACAGCAGACGATGAGAAGGGGGTAATAGGCCATGAGTGGGCGACCAATCTTATGTCTGAAAACAATACCAGTTTTTTCCATACAAGTTTCCCTGATAAAAGTCCAGCTTTTCTACCTCATATTTTGTGGAGACAGGAATCACAAAATAAGTTTGCTCTTTTTGTCTCATCTGGAAGAAACCTTTTTGGAGAAAATGTGGAGAAAGAAATGATGATAATTTTGCTCCGAGAATATTTCAACTCTCCTAATACCTCAAAAGGTGTAAAAGCAGTGTATCTTTTCATACCACTAAAACAATAACATCCCCATAGGAAAATAGCTTAAGTGTATTTATGAAACAAACTGAATGTGTTTTTGTACCTTTATCCGCGCAAAATAGTATAAAATTAGCCCCGTGACAGCTCTCCGAATGATTGATCAGGTTGAGCAAGAGCTTGGCACATTTGAGCACTGATTCTGAACAAGTCCCAACATTATAGCATTGTCATCTCGTCTATGAAAATGACATCGACACCTTCCAAAGTTTGACAAACCTTTTGCCAGCAATGTAGCGGAGGATGCACCTTTCATGGCACCGAAGCCTAAAATATGATGGTATGTATTTCCACCTAGCAATGCAGCAGCAGAGCCAGTCGGAGCCATGACAAGACAGCGACCTGCCTCACCTCGTATACCCAGGAATATTATCAATGATCTGATTACTGTTGATTTACCAGTACCACCAATACCAGCCAAGACTGGACGTAGGTTTGCTCGATCACAGTGATAAAGGTGTGTTACCACTATGACAAATGCTCATTGCTGCTCTCTGTTGAGATGGCGAAGACCTAGATACATTAGCAAACATTAGTTAGGTGGTCATACGTGCTCGATAATGGGGATACTGATGTTCCGGCTGCATACTGCCGAGACAGCAGGAAGGTGTCTGCTGACCGAGAGCAGCTGTGCAATGTCTAACAAACACCTCCCTTTGGCAATCCGAAGCGGCGAGAAAACGGGCCAGAAAGTGCCACAACAGGATCTGGACACTTGCAGAGAAGAAAAGAATATACATTCGCGAGAGGTCAGTATGTGTTTTGGACCCCATTGCGGAATGGATGCTGACGTTCTGCTATTCAGCTCTGGCTGGGAGTTTGGCCAACATAATCGTCACTCTGGCAATATGAGGCAAGTGCTCGTGGGAGGGGCGGCGAGAGAGAGGGTCTGTGCCGGCAGGACGTCAGCACGCATGCTGGACAACACTGCGGTCACAAACTCACCTCCTGTGACCTGGCTTCCACCAGCATAATACCCTGGGGCTTGAGATCAAGTGTGCATTCAGGCTTGCTGGGTGCAGGCGATACTCATTTGTTGGAAAAAAAAATCACTTGAAATCCTTTTCAAGGCATATCAAGGCGTCAATAGAAGCAGGACATTGCAATCCATTAATGTAAGAATGTTAATATTGAGAGATGCCGGCTTACTATTCCAAGGCATCTCAAGGCACCCTCAATGTGCGCCCAATCTTGGAATGATCTGGGCCGTTGCAGCGCTGTTTGCCATTTCAAGCCATTCAGACACTCGACGGTCATTCCAATGGCTCGCAAGCAGCCTGCCCCTTCTAATGCTTTGGAAGCCCAAGAAACTCTCGCAATGGCCGAACACTGATCTCAAGCACTCCGAATTCCTTAAGATACATAGACATTGAACCACGGTCACAAAACACCACTTGTCTGCTCACTGCACATCAAACCTCTCAGCAGGATGCTTGCCCCACCCCCACCCCCGAGCTATAGGTCCTTCTCCTGCTGAGCCCGCTCAGGTGGTACCGCAGCTTTTCGCTGCCGGGTCTTTGGGAGCGGCGGGCACCGTTGTGGTCAGTGGCACCACAACACAGGAAGGCGGCAACTATACTGAGAGGTAGAAAGGGGGCGGTACTGCTTTCCATGCGTTCGCAGATCAGTTTAGGCCATGCAAATAGTAGAAAAATCATGTACACTCATGTAGGAAATGTTGTGGAAGCAACGGTAAATGGGATGCACTGGACGTGCTGTGACGACATGCTCAACGAGGAGGTGGTTGATCTCGGCAGCAGCAATAGTCTTGTCTTGGAGTGAGGCACACAAGACGGCGAACTGCTCAGCTTTGAAATATATGTTGTGGCGGCCGTCGCCGAGAGTGTGATGAAGTATGGGCTTGCTCTTCTACCGCGTAGTGCAGAGAGGCATCAACCGTGTGGGACCCGCGCGTGCGATGGACAGCGAGATGTTCTTGACGACGAGTACACCTTTGATGCCACCCTCAAGTTTCTATTAGTTTTCGGTGAGCATTAGCACCTGTACACATCCAAAGCAGTAGATACACATCTTCAGACCAGGTTTCGTTCAGGCTCGGTGTCGGTGTCGGACTCCGCACCATGGAGAGCACATTCTAGGTTGTGTACACAATGGACTCGGTCTGTGCCTTCAAGTGTAGCTGCAAAACAAGACAGGTTGTCAGGGGAGGGGAGGTGAACAAACAGTTGGCAGCAATACATACCTTCAGATCCTTCCAGGCATCCTCCAGTCCCTCCGCTAGCACTGATTCATCACCCATCCTGCTATCACCTGTGAACGTGATAAGCTGTTGCTTGCATTTGATGATTTCTCAAGTAAATACCTGCCGAGTGAGAACTTAGGTGAGAACGTAGCAAGCTCCGCCAGACAATCCGAGGGCGAGCTCGAACTGCTACCGGCATGGTTGCAGCCCGCAGGGTGCATGGTGTTGAACGCAGCTGAGGATAGCAATACACGGTGGTGGCAACACGGGCACAAACCTCTGCTCCGCCTTTGCCGCCCTCTGGATGTAGATTGCTTTCCCAATTTCAGCGACCATGGAGACATGACTCACCGTGGCATTGACTCAGAGTAGGTTGACAGGCATGTGGCTGTAAAGCATTGCTTAGATATGAGCGGACAGAAGCAAACAGAGAAGACGACTTACCTTTCGTGCTCCTCAGCCTGGTCTTTGTTCGTGTGTGCACTTGTACGCTGCTTCAAGTACCTGTGGGGCCCTTGTCTTCATCTTCATCTATCTGCAGCCGTGTGCTCAATGTGCCGAAGCCGCCAAAGCAAGCATGGGACTCCGCTTTTCATTCATTGTGCTTTCCACGTCAGCATATTCCCCGCTGCAGTTGGCCTAAGCAGGAGCTGTGATGAGAACCATTGCTACGACACACCCAGAATACTATTCTCACAGATTTACTTCCCTCGCTCAGACTTTTCTGGTCTTGGACGATTGTCATCTAGCTTTGGAACAAGTCGGGATGTTGACGTTTAGTAGGCCTGATCCACAATGTCATGAAGGTCGTAGGCAGCGCCCTACTCGTATGAAAGCGTCAACAGGTGTGGCAGAAGTGAGCCGAGCACGATCTTGGATTAAGTCTGCCAGGCCCGGTGACAGCATCGGCAAGTGCACATAATGTATTGAAGAGTGATCCATGTCATCGTGCTGCAGCGGCTACAGGTAGTTCATCAATGACTCATCTGGTGGGAGCATCAGCAGGTGGTCAAACTAAAGCAAATTGTTTGGGGACTGCCGCTGCTTACTGAGTAGTGTTCCGAAACATCGCTGAGGCAGCGGGACAGGCGTATTACTGTGGGCACGGTGCGGAAATGCGTGAGCTGGCACCGATTCAGAAGTGCGTGGATGTCGGGTATATCGTAGTCAACTCGAAAACTGTTGTTGTGACGCCAAGCGTGAATGGGCTGCTTGTAATGCCGCTGATCACACTGAGCTCGCTGGAACTGAGGGTTGTGACAAGCACGCTGAGGCTGCCTTGCTTCATTCAAGCATAGCCATGTGCCACATTCAGTTTACTAATGGTAAATGTAAGTAGATAATCTGAGGGTCAAAAACAGGTAACACACCAGTTTCCTGTGCACTCAAGCTTGGAGGGTGATCTGATGGAGTCCAAGAAGCCTGAAGCTTGATGAGAGCATGCGGGGAGAACACTTGGAGTGCTGTTAGTACTAAAGATAGATAATGGGAATGAACACGTTAACGGCACAGCAGAGCATAGCTGCATGAACAAGTGCCAGTAGTTGATAATATCAGGCTGGGCGAGGGAAGTCAAGGTGGGAAGGGTCAACGATGGTAGTGGTACGTGGCAAAGATGGTTGGATTTTGGTCGATACCTTCCGGAGTGATAAGCGCATGATACAAATACCACCAAACTGTTCTTCCAAGGCACACAACAACTAGCATGGTCCATTGAAGATAAATTGCGTAGTACGGCCAAGGAAAACAAATTACATGTGCTCTGACCATATCTGGTCAAAATCAATGAAACCTCGTCCTCTTCATTTGGTCATACCGGAGTTTCCGGAGGGGCGCGAACGAGTCGAACGACGTGCAGCCTGCTGAAGCATAGCTGGACTGTCTGGAGCATGCTCCGGGTGACGGAGGTTGCTGATCGAGCCACTGATAGCTCCTAAATGTGCCTGCGATACTGGCTGATCAGTAACCATTGGTGCAAGCATAAGAATTAAATTATGTGCCAGTGCAATCTGCGAAGAGAGAATGGAGCCTGAAGTGGTGATCCTGCCCATAGCTCTTGGGATATGTTCATTGTCTTCCAAGATAGCAGCTCCAGACTTGCTGTGTTCAACTACTGCCTTCTTATTTTTGGTCTTCCGCTTCAACCCTGACTTCGGCACCAGCGCAGGCTCTTCAAGAGGAGTAACCGAGTCCATGGAACCAGCGAGAGCAAGCAACAGCGCCATGGCAGGTATGATCTCATCTGGAGAAGTGAGAGCAGAGAGAGATGCAGGAAGGGATGCGAGAGGAACCATGGGAGGCACTATGAGATGAGGAGCTGTGGGGAGAACTGTGAGAGGAACCACAGGAGGTGTCATGAAACATGGACGAGCTGCGGGAGGAGCTGCAGGATGAGCTGCAGGACGAGCTGTAGGACGAGCTGCGGGAGAAGTTGCAGAACGAGCTACGAGAAGAGCTATAGGATGAGCTGAGGGACAAGCTGCGGGAGGAGCTGCGGGAGGACCTACAGGATGAGCTGCGGGACAAGGCACCGTGAGACCAGGGGGAGCTAAAAGAGGGGCCATGGGAGGAGCAACAGAGCCATGTGTATGAGTAGCGGCAGTGATCTCGATGCCGAGCATCATGCCTGATATTTGATTATTTAGCTCTGGTTATGTCAACAAGCTTCAAACTCACCTGCTCCCTCGCTGTGGCTGTCAGGGGTAGCATTGGTGTCTGCTTCAGCATCTGACTCAAATTCAGCATCATGACCATTCTCAAATGCCTGCAACTGAGCAGCATCCCAGTCTGCATTGCTCGGGTTGCTGCCGGCCACTGTTTGTACCTGGGGAGGGACGGCAGCATTGAGAATCCAGCCAAAAACATTCGCATTCCAGTATGCAAGAATGCGACTGTTGCCTTTATGAATTGCCTTTGCGATCGTCTCTGATAGCCAGATATGTGTATCTGCGTAGCGCCACTTGGTGATCTTCCCAATCTCATTAAATACCTTATCGGGGCTTGCAAGGTAGAAGATCTGATGGGCAAAGAAAGCGTCAGGTACAAAATCAATAAGAGAGAGAGAGAGCTTACACCAATGAAAGAAAGGGCAATTAGACCGACAGTGGCCGCAGTGATCTCATGAGTTACTGCAAAGCAATTATCAGGTGGGACGCATTGGGAATCCTGCAGGAGTGCTTGTGCTCCAAATAAGATCTGTCGTGCGAACTGAATTTGAAAGGGAGTCAGTTAGAGTGTCTAGCAGATCGTTCTAAGCTTACTTTGGTGGCGGCCTCTCGTTTGAAGAGGTCCCTGACTTTGCCGAAGCGCCCCTCTGCGTACATGAGTGGGCACAGTTTGAGATAGCTGTCTCCCTTGCCTTTGAGGAGATACTCGACCTCGGGATCATTGTATTGACCAGCTAAGAGCTTCTCCCTCACGCTCTCGGCAAGATCTCGGAATATTCTGTCTCTGTGTTCTTTGGTGGTATTCATTGCACTAGCCCAACCGGCATTGATTTGCTCTCGCACCTATTGAGCATCCTAAACAGAGCTCACAGTAGAAAGTAATAGCACGTACATATTTTCTAGTGCTCTCATGGTTGCGAAGGCCTACCCAGCACTCTTCTGAGAAGTCAGTCTCTTCAGTATAGATCTCAGCCGTCCAGCCCAGCTTCCAATGGTGGTCGTCCTTGTATCGCATAACACCGTTAGGGTCCAGATCAGATGCTCGTCCAGTGAATACAGAGATTGGAACCCAAGGACAACGCATAATGGCGTAGCGACGTGCGGCTCTTCGGTAGATAGCCACGTTGCCTCCTAGCACAAGGTTATCAGCTGCACTCGTCGTGGGAGCTTCTGAAGAAGATGCCGAAGATGTGGTAGCGGCGGCCTTCAATTGGGCAAGCTCTGCTTGCATAGCTTTGTTCTTCGCAACCTGCTCTTGATTCTCCAGTTGTAGCTTCTGTAATGCCTTCAGAAGACAATTGGTAAAAGAAAAACATATCGCAACTTAAGGTGGACCTACTTGGCTAGCATGATCCACACTAGTTGGAGCTGGAGCTGTGAAAGGCTGAGAAGTGGGTGTGACAGTGGCAGAGAGTGCTACCCGAGGGACCACGTAGTTTCGGGGTGGGATAGTTGCTTGTTCGGTGGCGGGGGTGAGAACAAAGCCCTGCGGAGGCACGTAGGCACCTGCTACTTGGATATGAGGCACAACAGGCTGAGGTATGTAGGCATCAGCGAGCTTGCAGAGCCACAGTGATGGACTGACTTACATGAGTGCTTACCGCTTGAGCTTGAGAGATGCCATGCGGAGGAAAGTACTGCCCCAGGACCTGACTTGCATGATGGCTGGACTGCGCAGGAATGGTGGGCTGAGTCAGAAGTATACTGGCAGTGATAGCTCGTGCAGTGGGGGTGTCGCCTTCATCGCAACTGGACTCCTCTGACTGAGAAAGATCTTCGGGAGGAAGGTATCGCCCCTCAGGTGGGTCGAGCGGCATGTTTGGTAGTAGCAGAGAAAAGGAGATGAATTGTGCCAGACATTCCGCTTCACCACAGCTGTTCTTTATACCTGTCAGCTCTCCGCTTATTTTTTAATTTTTAATTTTCTTGAGATCCAGATACCTTACTCATGATCTAGAGTTGGATGTCGCACCGGGCTTGAAACAAGCCAAGACCACGACTATTACATGTGCCCGAGAACAAGCGGGCATGCTGGACCCATTCAGCATGCCAAACGAAGAGGCTTGAAGTTCCAGGTACACGTGGATTTGAAAATGCTGCACAACGTAGGCTTAGTACCACACATGAGGTTTTGGCGGACTAGTTCAGCTGCTTAAAGGTAGCATCCACAGCAAGTATACAGGGATAATTGTAGAACAGTAGTGGTCTGATGGCAAGACCCACAGGAATGCTTCACATGAACTTTGAGAGCTGAGGGCAAGGTCAATCTTGAAGTTGTTTGTAGCAGCGCCGAATGAGCCAGGGAGTCCAACATGAATACCGTTCTGCTCAGGGTTGATGGGGTTTGTCTTCTCGTGGAATTGTTGCAGCTGCGAGCAGTTGGGAGGACTGATGTGTGACACAAGTCAGTGCATAAAATGTAATTGACACGAAAGAGTAACATGCCTGTAGGCCATGCCCAGTGACACAGCCTTGCCCTCGCTTTGTGACTGCGAAGCGTTGTCAAATGCCGGTGAGCTGCGAGAGTCAACTCTTTTCCAGAGGCTGATCCATTGTACTCTCCTTCGCCAGTGCACGGACACGTGCTTGGAGAGCCCCTTGATGACTTCGCTCCCCTCGAGCGTCATCACCTATTGCTCATTACTGAGCCCATCGTCATAGCCGATAGCAGTCCGCATGCGCATACCACAGCCCTCGTACTCCTCAAGCCCACTATTGTTGCAAATAGCTCGTCCGCACGGTAGTAGTCTGGCAGTTCCTCGAGGATGACAAGAGGCGGCTGCTTGGCGAGATTGCCGGCTGCATGCCATGTTTCCGGCACGTCAAGGTCACAGCTGATGTTAAACTCTCGGAAGGCGTCCATCCCGTTTGCACGTAGGGAAGTTCCAGAAGAGCGAGGAGAGGTGATGGTAGCTCAGTATATGTCAACTGGCTGACATGGTGGAGGGGACAGATATAGCTGTTCAGGCAGCACAGGAAGAGGGTGACTTGGGGGATCCGCAGATCTGCGGTCACCTTGCGATCTGCTGTGCCAAACACCTCTCATAAATACCCTTCGGGAGCTCCGTCGCCTGAGATATAGCATTACACACAGAATTAACATAGAGACATCATGACAATGGTATGACATGTACCCAAGATCTCCAGCTAGTAGTCGTGCTCTCCCAAGATGGTAAACGCGTTCATGAGCCCTCCGTACAGGTCATCCACGTCCGAGACGAGCCTTTGCTGCTACTGCTACTGTCCGCACGGGTGCTGTGCTGCCCTTTGTGCCGCCCACTGCAGTTGTTGCAGCTGGTCGAGGCTGCGGAGGCGGCAGGTGCGCCGCGTAGGCAGTAGACGCAGCCGCGTAAGGGTCGCCATAACTCTCTATCGTGCATGTGTCGCCCGCGCCCTGGTTTCACAACAGAGCCGAGCTGGTTCAGCTCATGCGCAGGGTCCGCACCAGCGTCTGCACCGAGGCCCACCGCGTCGAGCCACTCCGTGTTCACAGCCGGTTGGTTGTTTGCGTTGGCATGTCCCGAAGGCAGTGGTAGCTCGTAGTAAGCGTCATCCTGGGAGGGGCTTGCAAACGCGTTGTACGGCTGGGTCGTGCTGCGCAAGCGGTTGAGCCCTCCCCTACCGACTCCGGCGGCTCTGTATGTGCCGTGCTGCGTGAGATCGGCCGCGAGCAGGATCTCGCTCATGTTGTAGTGTGCTGTCGGTATACACGCTGCGCGCGCCAGGCGTGAAGTCGTCGTTGTCAAGGTCCGGAAAGCGTACGCCCTCGTTGGCAGCCTCGCGTGTAGCCTCATCGATTTCGCAATCAAACTTCGCTGCACGCCAGCGGCGAATGGCGTTTACAACGAGAGCGATAGCTGTGGAAGCAGTCAGCATACTATCGGAAAGTGCAGTGTAAAAAGGAGCTTTAGATTAAGGAAAGTATATATGTGCGTGATAAAAGCATCTTGGACTTGGTAGCTGGTAACTTCATTGGACGTCCGGAATTCAGCCGAGGCGTTCAATATATTCAACAGGAACCATCTGCTCACTTTTTTGAGCTACCGCTATTCTGCACTATGAGGGTGTTTGTAGGTGCTGAGGACAACGACTTTATGAGCTTCATCACTCCGATTGCGCTTCCATCCGGCTGTGTGGATGTGAAAACTGTCGCTGATATTGGCAGTGGCTGCGAGGTTGCTGTCGCAGGTGAAGTAGGTAGTCGCAGAGGATAAACCAGAGGAAGGAGGTGATGATGTAGTGTCGGGGGAGGTAGACGAGGACGTGGATGACGAGATCTGGCTGGGAGATGGAGTAGGTGCACTCAAATAAGTGGAAGCACTGCTCAAAGTCAAGCTGCTGCTATCTGTCAAGGCAGTAGATGCGGAGGTTGTGAAGGTTGATGATGTGGATGAACTGGAGGTGGAGGTGGAAGTGGAGGTCAGGGTGGAGGTGGTAGAGGTCGATGTAGGGGTAGTGATGGCTACACTCGAGCTGGCAGACGCCGAGGTCGATCTGGTCGGACTACAATCAAAGTGCAGTCAGCAATGTTTATGCCATGATCACAAGATCGTACGCACTCGGCAACTGTTGGAAGGGAAGGAGTGGCTAGAAAGAGACGTGAGTACAAGCTGTGGTTAGTGGAAACAGAACCGACCTGAGAGTGGAGTATCAGCCATGTTGTCGTCTGCCGGGCGAACTTATCAGAAAAGAGCATGGGTGACACCCACCAATATGCCTAGGGCTCGCGATACATCTTCCCCGCCAACGTGCTCGCTGGCCAGTCGTTCGTGCTCAGCCATGTACGCGGCCTGAGCAGGAGCAAGCTCCTGTTCCAATGCAGTGATCTGCTCGGACAGGGCCCGCTCACACTCCGCCGCTTACATCTCTAAAGTTTCCTTGCCTGCGACACGAGCAGCATCGTAGTCTGCCTGCATGGCAGCGCACTCTTCCTTATTGCTCGAAGGCTGCTTGCTGTTCCTCGAGAGCGACGACAGCTGTGGTTTGCAACAGCTGCAGTCATATCTTCTTCGAGCGTGGCAACTGCAGCGGCCTTCTCTTCCTCGAGTGCAGCGGTGCGAGCTTCGCACTCAGTCTTGATCTCGGGCGGCTCTTGAATGACTCGTTCTCTTCGTGGGTAGCCTCGCGTTCTGCGTTCCCGCCGCCCGCGCCTCCTTCTCCTGCCCGTGCTCGGCATGAACACTGGCGAGCTCTTCCTCCAGGGCTTGGATGTGAACCTCGCGCCTAGCATCCGTGGCGTCCCAGAGCTGCTTCCACTCGTCAATCTGGGCGTGAAGTTTGGCTAACTTCTTCGATAGCTGCTCAGTTCCCGCCTCTCGCTCTAATATTACACAATGTGCGGCTGTGGGCTGGTCACAAGTGCTGGACGGGACTGAGCGTGCTATCTGGGCGGTTGAATAATTGGGAGCACAGGTACAGGCGCAGGTTGCTTCGGAGTGTTCTTCTTTGTGGGAGTAGTGGAGGGATCTGGGGTGGCCTGACTTGGAGAACGCTGCGAAGATCCTGACGCAGTCACATTGGTCACAGTGCGAGATGAGGTCAGTGGACGAGCCGTCTTTGCAACAGTGGCACGTTGCTGCTGTGCCGCCGTCCGCTCCTTTTCCGCCTTCTCCTTCTCCAGCTGCTCTTCCTCAGCTTTCTCCTTCTCCAGCCTCTCGCGTTCGCGTTCGGCCTTCTCGTTCTCCTTCTTCTCGCGCTCCTTTGCCACCTTCCGCTCCCGCTCTTGCTGCTCTTGCTGCTCTTGACGGGCCGCTCGCTCCGCAGCTGCCTTCGCTTCTCATTCTTCATGGACCTTGTGCTCACGTTCCTCCCTCTCTCTGCGCTCCTGCTTCGCTTTCTCCTCTTTCTCCCTATGCTTGTGTTCACGCTCGGCTTCGCACTCTTTCTCCTCTGCAAGACGCTTGCGCTTCTCCTCTTTGTGCAGCCTTTCCTCCTCCAGAGCTTTGTGCTGAGCTTCCCACCTTGCCCGCTCTTCTTCTCGCCGCTTCCTGCCCTCCTCCTCCTCTTGTGCTGTCTGCTTAGCCTTCAAAGCAACATCCTCAGCCGCTTTTTTGGCCGTGCGAGCAGCACGCTCCTCCTCTTTCGCAAGCTTCTGCTGACTAAAGAAAAAGACACACATTTCAGGGAAAGGGCACATATACCCATGTGGAATAACACACACCACTTCTTATCCTTCATCTTCTGGTTCTGCGTTCGTTTCTTTGCCTCTTTCTCCTTCGACAGCATGTCCTCATCCTCAAGCTCTCGAAGCAGTTGCAGCTGGCGTTCCTGAGCGACCTTCTCGCGATACGCTTGAAGTACTCGCTGCTCGAACATCCGGGCAGCAAAGATGGAGAACATGCGCTTGCCTTCTTCCATTTTCTGCTCCTCTGTCATAACCTGCAAAGCGTGAGCAACATATCGCGTGACCTCGGACTAAGCGTAGTACCTCTTCCTCTTCCTCTTCCTCTTCGTCCTCATCCTCGTCCTCTTCATCTTCCTCCTTGTCCTCCTCATCCCCCTCCTCATCTTCCTCCTCTTCAGAGTCGTCTTCAACGTCCGCCACTGCCTCTTCCTCGCGCTGGATGCACCGCTCAGCTCCATCATCTCCAGAAACTTCTGACCGTCGTTCTTAAGGAGATCGTCTGCGACAGTGACAATGTTACCTGCGTCTACAATGAGAAATCGAGGGCTTACACAAGCAGAGGAAACAATGAGACTTGCCTGTGACAGTGAGACTGTTCCCAAAGTTTGTCTGTCCGTCCCGCCCGTTTGCTTTGCCATTCACCGCACCACGCCATCGCACTGCCCGTCGCTCGGTCTGGGGCTTGACGTCTGCTTCGTCTTCTGGCTGTCCCTTGTCCTCCTCTTCGTCTTCTTCCTTCTCTTCTTCCTCCTCTTCCTCCCTGTCGTCTTCGGATTCACTTTTGGCCTTGACAGCTTTTCTGCCATTGACGACACTGTTCTTGGCTCGAGAGGGTATATTGGAGATGGTATGAGGACCGATCACCGCACCGTTCTTGTCCAGCTCGACACTCCCAGGGAAGGAACCTGGTCCTTGAGGAGGAGGTATCGTGCCGCCAGACGATATGTATTGCTGCTGATAGTTCGCGAACTGTTCAAGCTCTTCGTAATAAGCATCGTACAGTACCTCGAGCTCCTCCTCAATAGCATTTCTAATTTCATCCCAAAATTTGAAGCGTTTGAAGTGCCGAAGGTGTGGATAGTGTGGAAATTGGCCGTGGCAAGGTATCGGTCGAGAATAAGGTCAGCGACGAACAGAAGCGACGAAGGACCAAGAGCACAGACCGCTTTCGCCCACAGACAGCACACATGCAACTGTGTTTCTGCTGCTCCCTCATCTTCCTGAGGACGGCCTCTTTCTCGATTTTCACGAGATTCCGCCGCTCGTCCTCGCCCAGGCTGAGCCAGAACTCCTAGATTCACTCGCGCTCCTCGGTTGTGCTGGTGGACCATATCTTGCTATTGTTTTTCCCATTAGCAGTGTTGCCTGCGCCGTTTGCTGGAGGCCTGGGCTTGTGGGGCGCAGAGGCATTCGAGGAGGGTGGCGATGGGTGGTGATGAGCATGGTTATGCAAGCAAGCGCGGAATGTGATGGAGGCCTTGGAGGCTGACGCGGCGGCTTTGTGGTGGGGGATTTGCTGGGGCGGGCGTCAAGTAAGACATGGGCTGTTTGCCCGCAGCTCGAGAGCTTGGCGGCGGGTTCGCAGCAGTCTTGTCGGGAATAGTCTGAGTGAGAAACATCAGAAACGTCCTTTCAACAACCGCTAAGCTTACCATTTATGCCTGTGGAACAAATCCAGGCGGGGATACTTGCATTGAAGGTGTCGCGCTTTTGTATTAGCGGTGCAACGGCAGCCTGAGACTAGGAGTCGACAACACTCTCGAGTGAGATGTGCGCGATTTGGACGTTGTTGTTTTCTTTGCCGGCGACGTCGACATCTGCGCGTCGACATACGTTGAGATACGGTTGGGTGATATGGCACGTTTGATGCCTTTCGTGAGAATGGGCTGTACTTCCAGGACTTTCGCAGCGTTGACTTGGGCCTCCCAGAAGAAGGCGAAAAGCTCATTCTGTACACCCTTAATCTTGTTTTGAATGCCTCGAACACACCGAGGCCCTTTCTGCTAAAAAGGTGCCCGGTTTCCCTGCTGAGCATGATCTTGAACATCGCCATCAGGTTCTTGAAGCGCGGCGACAGTTCCTCACGGGTGAACCTCGAGTTGTCGGTGAAGGCTCTGCAGAGCAACAGAACGTGTCGAAGGCGGGTATAAAATGAGTATTCTGGGCGTGTGCAGCAAGATCTATTCAAATGTAAGTCTCCCTGCGATATTGCCCCACATATGCACTCACCACAATTTCCACGTATCCCTTGAGCTCGATTCGCTCAATACAAACATCACTCGCTGCCTCGCTCGCTCCATCTATCATCGACGGCGCCAGCACGGATGACGCCGTCGATAGTGAGCTAAACACGTCACTCGCCGCAGCCTCAGTCTACCTCTCCTTGGACAGCGTGTTTCGCATATTCGATGGCACATTCGGCGGGGCGTTCAGCTTCCACTTGCTCTCTGTATCCTCGGATGTTCCAAAAATGCTTGGGGACTCGTCGCTAAGAGACGCTGCCTTGGCGGTTGGCGTGCACATCGGGTCCTCGTGGGAACCTTTCTGATAGTTGTTGCGAGGTGTTGGTCGGAGGCCCTGACGCGCGCTCGACCAGCACACGATGGGCATGTGTGCAAATAGCTAGGCATTACTACGCCACCACATGTAATTCACCAACCAGCGCACGTTGTAGTACTACAGTGGCGTCTCATATGAGCCACGTGAGTACGTGCGTGCGTGCATGCGTGCGGTGACGATCGGCGCGGTATTGCGACATGGCAAAGAGAATCGGGAAGATGGGCCTCCTGGGATTGTGACATGTGCTCGAGTGCCGCCGCGAAGTCCACCTCATCCGATGTGTCCTCCCTTGCGGTGGCCTGCCCACGCCTCCTGCTGCTGCTGCTCTGCGCACAAGGGCTACTACTGTGTGCGTGGCGTGCCCACTGCAGCTCGTGTTATGGCTCGTGCTTCATGTGCTTGTATATATCCTTGAGGGTGAGGATGTCCGTGCCGAGGTCAACTTGAAGTATACTGACCGCGAGCTGGAGAGGCTGACAAACCTCGTAATGACGTGGCCATGGCGGGGAACGGCATTGCCTAGTGATGGCAGGAGTGGCGTTGTTATAGCTGCGGGCGTAGGTGTACCGTGGGCTGTGCTGTTCAGATATGAGCATGCATTGTGCGAACCGGCTGCGTGTGGGTAAAGCTGATCGACCCAACGAGGCGTGGCAGCTGCCGAGTGCGGCTGTGACGGAGATGGTGTTACTTGATGTAGGTGACATTTCCCGGGTGTAGATGCGGGGCGGCGGGGGCAGCCTCACACTGGTGCTGACGCGAAATAGTTGAGGGTTGACTTGTGGAGATATTTACTAAATTAGCACACATGCGGAATAGACCACGAGGAGGGACTCACCGAGCTCTGCTGACAGCCCGCCATCCACTTCGGTGCATTTACCAGCAAGCGTGCACAAGAGTATCCAGTCTGCCGTGCGCAAAGCTTGTTGATCCTCTTCCATGCTGTGCGCTGGCGCCGACGTGAGAGCTGGCCGTGACTCTGACGCGCTGGGGCTAGGAGATGGCGGCATGTCGAAGACGCACTGTCCAAGTGTGCGGCGCGCCGGGGAAGGAATTTTGTGTGAGGCTCGCGTGAGGCTTGCGGTAATGCACATATGCCGTTGTCTGTGAGCGGCGAGGGCCCCGCTGCTGGCAGCGGACCGTTATAAGATGGGCGCTTGGCGAGTGAGAGAGCGACGGCAAACAGGAAGGAGGTGGGAGTGTCGCAGCATCTTCATATTCTCCATCTCAGGCCTCAGAAGCCTTCTGAGTCACTTCTGCTCCCGCTATCGCTATCGTTGACTGTAGGCTGACATTCACCGGCAGATTGTATAGCAGAGACTGGGGACAAATGAACAGAAGCAGTAAAGTCTGGGGAAGCGAGTGAGTATGGGTGCAAGAGTCTAGGGAGAAGTACATATTTCAGAGACCGCGCCGTTCCGCGTAGCTTGGCCTGGCCGAGAGCATTCTGGGCAAAGGGAACTTGAATTTTGGTTGGATTACTGGCGATTGATAAAAAGGTTGACTTGGAGCAACTATGCTTTCCCGGTTCTGGACGACAGGCAGTGGTGCATGGATGTATGAGTGGGAAAGCGTTGCGTGATAAAAGTAACAAGAGTTACACACGTGACAAATTTGTGACAAGGTTCCAGTGGCATTCAGCACTCTCCCTTGTTATATAAGATCTGACCATTTGACAGCAAGGAGTATTACTATAATACACTCAGATCAAACTAACCAGGGGCTTGTAGTTATTGGAAGGGCTTTCAAAGCCCTTGAAGGGCCGTGACACGCTCTTCGTATCGTTGAGTAACCACAGCTGTTGTGACACGCTGAATCATTAATAATTGGCTTCGAGATGCCACAGATGGGGCATCTCTTGCTATTAGCACTATACTTGGCCACTTGTGGAGAGCCTCTGAATTGTCGACTCAATCCCTGAACTCGCATGCGATCGTTCGGAAGGTGCGTCTTTTCCGCTTTTACAACGCACTTCGGCTAACATGGTCACCCAGATTCAAGCATGGCCCAGACGGCTTGTTTGCAGACGATGACCTCGCCATCGTCCATTGAACAACGACCGTAACTGTTTTAGTCATGCGCAGGCCACTCCACCATCTTCCATGTTATCCATATCATTAATATTATGCATGGTCAATGGCGAGGCACATGCTCGATGAATGAGCATCAGGCATTTCTCGGCCTCAGCTTGAGGCTGCCCACAGACTTTGAAGATAGAAATCTGCATCCACGAGAACGCCTCACAATACCGCCCCACGCACTCAAACCAGACGCATCACCTTGCGCAGACAAAGGGGTCCAAAGCAGATGGATCCAACAGCATGGACGTCGATGACGACGGCGCTGCCGCGGAAGCGGAGAGCTGGGTGCCCAGTCACGCACCGGACGTACTCCACATTCATATAATCGACTATTTCATCATCGTGCTCATCGAGCTGACGCGGCAGGTGCCATGCCACAAAGCCAGAGACGATAGGCCACCAGCTCGGTCTCCACATGCCTCTGAGCATCGGCGGAAGGATTTCCGATCGTGGAACATGCATGACTGCATGGAGTACCTGGATTCGAAGAAGGCTGTTGAGAAATTGCAGCCGTCACTGTAGACGTTCCTGCTCCAGAGGAACGAGGGCCGTGAATGGCGCAGGGGAGAGGATTGACCTCACCAGGCCCGAGAGAATTGTTTGGACGTGCTCGAGGATATCGGAAGGCAGTTTGAGGACGGACTGGTGCTGCTATCACCGACAGAGTTGCACTCGATTGCAGGTGTGGCATGGCAGCTGTATGGATGCATTGTCAGCCCGCCACTTGGCCCTGCCAGGCTATAAATCTGCTGCAGCTATACAGTGACATGCCCACGCTCATGCGTGGACACCGATTGCACATAACTAACTACATACGTGATTTTCTCTCACATACCTTGCTTTGTCGCTGCGTGGGGTCTGTGCCTGCTCCAGCAATCAATCCTGCTTGTCCGTAAGTTCTATGGGAACTCCAAAACAAATAAGGGGAGGATGTAGACATAGCTATGTATAGTACAAGAATCCTGCAGCACATACTATAGTTAGGAGCTGAGCCTTTAAGAAGTCTGCTACTCTTTTAGATAGTTTCATAAGTAGATTGTTGAAATAGACTCACTATATTAACAGAGCTCAAGTTGTGAAAGATTGCCTTCACTCGAAGGAACATATCGGTATCGACAACATCCATAACAAAGAAGTCGCCGTATCGATCTGGATCTTCAACCAGTACGGCACCTCGAACAAGTGGCCGCAACGAGAAGAACTCTGCTTGGATGCGAGGTTTAGCATGTACACAGTACAATCCAAGGTGCTTATCCTTTCGCAGGTGTACACCAACAGGTGCATCGAGAGGCCATACTAAGGCGATTGGCTCGAGGTCTTGACCGATCTGGCATATAAACGCATGCAGGAGCTTTCCGAAAATGACAGTGTCATTTCCGATGTCCAAAATCACTCCATCATAGCGAGGGTGCCCGTAGAAATTTGGATTACAGCGAAGATAGTCTGTGAGAGTGCACCATGTCACTGCAGATTCATAATCAACCTTTAGAAACCGGCACTCTGTAATCTAAAAGAGTGAAAATCAGCAATTTAACGTAGCAACTTGAATTTTCATTGGTGAGAATTAGAACTTAAACTCACTGAGTCAGATGCACGGAAATGCACAGATGGGGATCCTGGTGGTAGCAAGTACCTGTTGATGAACTCTGCAAGCTTGATTCAAAATCGGTTGAAGGCAGTGTCTTGCTGACGTGCATTCTCTACTGCCTCAAAACACGACGGTTGCTGTGGAGCACCTAAGTGAAGCTTGCCAAAGTTAAATCTTGGATCTGTTGGCTTGTCGTCCTCTTCAGGCTCTTGGTGCAGTTCATCCCAAACTTCAATATTGTGCCTGATATTCATTGCAACTAGAGACTGATGTTCAACTTTAAGGATCTAGCAAAAAGATAATGTTAGGCTATGTTCAATTGATATCAGCTACTATTGCTCAGTCTTACCTGAGGCACAAAATCCCGCTTATTAGTTTGGTAACAGTAAGACTGCTTGGAGGGACCATGTCGCTTCTCATAGGTCTTTGTAGTGTATTGGCCAGTGCACCCTTTGTCTTCAATGTCATCGTATGCATGCATGTTTGCATCGAACTTTGGAAAATTCCAGTTTTTCCCTGGGTATTTCTTGGAGTATTTCTGGACTAAATTGGCACAAACATTCAAAAAAGTAATATTTGCACTCACATCAATCAAGTCTGAAAAGTGTGTAAGCCAAGCTTGGCCACTTGCAATGGTCTGCTCTGTGTGCAGCTCCAAAGCAAGGTGCATATCATGCTCCAGATAAGCTCGCATGCAACGTAGCAGTAGATAGCCTTGTGGATCTGCTGACTCAGTGACTACATTGTGTACTGCAAATATAATTGACTAATGTTATTATAGAAAATACTTATTAGCAAATGCTCAAACCATTATGCTAGTAGACTGCACCTTCATTATATCCTCATACTTGGTACCATCTGTGAAATGAACCTTCATGACTGTTGCAAAGTGGTTGAGACCACACCAACATGGAAGAGATGCCATTCTAAATATTGAAGATAAATCAGCTTCAAATATAATAAATGTAATTTAAATATTTTCATACTGCTGGTCAATTTGTCCCATAGCAGAGCGGCCTAGTGCTTTCTCAACACAGTCCTGGAAAGTTGGCCAAAGGTGATTTGAGCTCAATCCTCCAGCATTGGCATGTAGCCGATCAACTGAAAGGGCCTCATGTGGGTCAGAATTGGCAACAAGCCAAAATGCATTCTGGTGTAGTGCTTAATGTGAGAATCATTAGCATAATAAAATCATTCAATAAACTCACTTGCTCTGCTCGCAATCCCAAAGGCTTTAAAAGCTCATTTTTGTGAGTACGGCTAAGTGTATCATCCAACACCACGGTCTTTACATTATCGGCCCTTCGTCGAATTTGTATAGCACGAACTTTGAACTGAAGTTCAGGTGATATGTTGCATACAGGACATGGCTTCAGCCCATTATTTCCTCTTGTCAATGCCATAACAGACCTGGTCAGAAGTTGTAAAAATGATTAAAGTTGTTAGCAGTAGTTGTTATGCAAGTAGAATTTGAACATACTGTTCTTCATAGTCTGCAGACAATATGTGAATGAAAGGATACAAAAGACGCTGTACATAATCAGGACATGCACAGAGATAGCCAGAGTATGATAGCAAAATGACGTCTTCCAGAATTCTTCAAAATGAATCATGCCAGACAACTCGTTTGAAGTTGGTGAATGTAGTCTTGCCCTTTTTGTCAGCATCTTCAGGAACCTTTATTGCTTGTAAGTGTTAAAAATAGTTAAAAAAAAAGTAAAGGACACACTATTGGAAGCCAGCCAACAATGCGTCCACTGCCAATTCCTGACCCATTACGTTGACAGGCAGCGATGTTTGTAATACCTGCCATGACTGGATAGCCTTTTGCTGTGCCAAAAGATGACAGCCTAGTTTTGTCTGCATAAAGCAGAAGGCCAAGTGGTTTGCCATCTGGATTAGGCAGCTTTGACTACAGCAGAAAGTTATATTGAATGTTAGAGCCCAGAATAAATAATGAGCTTGAGCTTAATAACGGACCTGTACATTCCATGCCTGATTTGCAGTGAAAGGCTCATTGATCCAACGCACCTATGAGATACCATTGTACTTGTACATCTTGCAAGAGTCCCAGTATATGTATGGCAATAGAGCAGGGTTATGCAGCTCATCTTCAACCCATTTCCAGAGAGGACGTGCATATAGCTCATATGTGAACTCCTGGTGTTTGTACTTTGCAGAGATCTCATGCTTCTCAAACTGTATATTGCAGGTTAGCTAAGGGCTAACACGAAGTGAGAGTCAACCAGAGCTTACATTTGTGCGTAGTTTGGATGCATTATTCCATGCCTTTTCAAGATCGCTAACAGAGCGAAGTGTGAACAATGCACAGTTGGGGGCAACTTTCTTGATAATGCTCAGAAGGATGTCAATTTGACTGTGATTGAGATGCGCCTCAACAGTCAATGCTGCAAACTCAAAGTCAAGACAGGTAACAAATGGGTGCCATGGTCTTGCATCTGGGTTGTCATCTTGAGGGACTGCATCTTGTGCTTCGGAGCGTGCCCTGAAATCTTCGAAGTGTTCAATGCGAGCACCTAAGCTGCTCTTGGGATGATATACTGTCATGATATCATCCTTCCTCAGCTCGCTGATTTTGAAAGCACCCTTTTGCACAAGTTTGGCTGCAAAGAGTGTGTTAGAAGTTAGAATAGTATCCAGCTAACACCCAACTGCACAGATGAACAGTTGGCTGTCAGCCAAAATTAATGATTAGCGTACCAAATATCTCGTTTGGGTCAGCCTCAGCACTGGCTGAAACAGACTCAGAGGATGCTGTTTGAAGAGCTGTAGTATTAATCAGTTTTCTTGTGTATGCATGGGCTAGTCTTGTACCTTGGGTGTCAGATGCGCATGATGTTTCATGGAGTGCACGGCCGAGCAGCTGTCGCAAATGCTCTTGGTCCGGGGCTGCATTGGTAAACTCCAGCATTGTTCCAGATGGTTCAACCTCTTGTTTGGCAGCAGTACCTGGATCGTGTTCCACCAGAGGTGTGTCTATTGGTGCAGACTGCAGTGTACCGGCAGGCAAACAAGTATCACTCAGGGTCACAGTGGCATTAGGATTCGTCACTGTTGACATCAGGAGTCGGCCAAAGCCAAAACAGTGCAGTCAACTTACAGGTCATATCAGAGACCTCAGAGGCTACATGGGTGGAATGTACATGTTCAAGTTGCACTGCAGAAAAATGGCATCAGTGATCAACACCCACATCACCGCAATTTGCTGTACAGCAAGGCTAGGAAAGATACATACATGGTGTAACATTTTGTTGCATGTATTCCAGTGTGAACCCCTGATCGTGGGCTCGAGACTTTGCCTTCATCATGCATGCCTGCTTGTGTCACCTGAAACCCCTTGAGCACCAGAAACCGCCACAGCTGTCACAATGTTGTAGGCCAGCAAGTGATGCATAGTGTGCCGTAGGTTGTATTGTATTGCTGAGGTCCATCTATAGCTGGTCAGTTTGGTAGCCGTAGCCTTGCTGTGCAACGTATGCTGGTTGTAGGCAAGCCAGTATGGTTGCCACATTAGGTACTGAGCTACGATGCAGCATGGAAGACCACGTAGCGTGGCAAGAGCTCACACTGCCTGGCCGCCATGTCTAGTTCTATTTTCCCAGACCTAGAGATGTGCATGAAGTGGCAATATAGTAGTCTAAGCCATCTGAATCTGTTGCTGTCACGACGACGGCGTATAACTCCTCGAATGGGTTGCTCCATTGCCTCAGCATCAGGAAATCCCCACATGCAGTGGGGAACTTGAACTCAATAGCTAGTGACCGTCAAACCATATTGAGCCCCAGGCTTGCTACAAAGAGTCGCAGCCCATCTCATGCCTATCCGAGAATTCTTTCGCGAGGTGCTCCGTTGTTCGCACACTTCGACAGGTGTCCTGCAGGCGGTGTTGTGCTACCTGGAGGCTATTCATTCGAAAGTGCCTAGCATCCTTCAATAGAAGTGATTCAAGCAATTGCACCCCGATGCTTCCATGACAGAGTATTCTGCTCAGCGGATCTTCCTCGCATCTGAGTTAGAACACAGTGACACTAGCTTGGACTTGACTGGCATCTGCGAGAATGATATTGATGTTTCGACAACGTCCGGGACGTCTACGATGACTCTCATTGGTGTTTGCTCGCAAGAATCTCTGACCGCGCCGCCTACGCAGCTTTATGGACTCGCGCTGCCATGTCTACTGGTAAAACTGCCACGGTACGTATAAATAGTTAAATTCACCCAGAGACATACATGGTCCGGCAATATAGTACTCTACACTGTCTGGGACTGCTGCCGTCGCAGCCAATGGTATACAGCTCTTCGACTGCCGCACTCCATGGGCATCTTAAATTACAGCCATAGCGAAGACAAATACAGACTATTAAGACAAATGATGCCAGCTTACTACTAATACATCTGCACAGTTGCGCACAGCAAAAGCAAGGCAAGGCAAACAACACAATACTACGATACTGAGCCTTGATCTGTGGGGAAACATGAGAAGATACTGATAGATGCGATGTAATATAGCTGCTGCTGGGCTCTCGAACAAGCGTGTGCATGGTTTCGGAAAAGGGAACGCTCTTGCAAACAAGGGTTCAGAGTGTTTGAGGTGTGCTGGCCGGATCTAGCCCTTCATATGTGAGGCGTAAGATAGAGACATAGAGAAACATACCCAGGTTTTTGGTAGTCAAGACAGATCACTGACATGGCTGATGATACAGAGAAAAATGCAAACTCGGGAGAGAGAGCCACATGGGTATATAGTCTTGGTGAGCATTACTCGGCATCGCTCGCACGGCTCACAATGAACGGGCCTTCGAGCGGCGTCGCATTCCAGTTGGTAGTCACAGCGCGGCAGTTGCCAACGAAGTGCTGGTTCCCAACGAGGTACCTGTGGAAGATGGTCGTGCTGAGCTCAGGAATGAATGTGGAGAAGCGCACGATGGCGACGAGCCCGTCGTACTTGCGCACTCTGCTGTAGAAGTGGTAGCGGTGCCACGCCTGGCCGTACTCGGGAGAGTCTGCGAAGGAATGAGTACTACCGCGCGAGGGGAGCGGAATGGGGTACGTACCTTGCCCACGAGAATGATATTGTGCACCCCGTTGCATGGCGTAGACGCAGCGGAGTCCGTCATCCAGTGTCGATCAGATCGTCGACCAGAATATTGGAATCAATGATGACCTGCGGCTTTGCACGATGCCCTTGTATCTGTGGGCCTGATGTGTCGATGCCTCCTGCAAGATCGGCAAGTCCTGCATCGACGTCCGCAGCAGTGGCGGGATCGAAGGCAACAGGCTCATTCTGGCATGCAGACGGACTCCGAGCTCGCGCATGTTTGAGGCGAGCTCTGCCCTCACTTCGATCTTCAGTGTCACCCTCTGTGAGCACCATTCATCTCTGCCTCGACAACAAAAAATCCTCAACTCATGGGGAACTAACCTCTGCTAGGTGACCGTCATATCCTATCGAGCCCCGGGCTTGCTACAAAGAGCCACGGCCCCCGCGCTTCTGAAACCTTTCGCTCATCGTGTCCGTCGCGGACTTAATACGTCTCTGAGAGTCTCCGATGCCAATCCTGCGCATGGATTCGGCTGCCTCAATAGCATTGCACTTGCCACGCACGACCATCCAGGGCGGTAGGGTATGCTCGTGCATGTTGGTCCTCTGTGCAGGGAGTGGCGGGCGGCGAGTGTCGTGTGCCGGTGCAGTTACCCTATGTATGAGCCAGCCGGTCTGGGTGTGTGCTGTCGGAGGTGTGGTAACGTCGAGGCTACGTGCCTGGGTATTTCTGGTCTGTGTACAGCGGCGCTATCTCTATCCGTGATGAGTACCGTCTCTTGTCAATACGCGCCGCCTCATGCTCTGCCGCGGGCAGGCATCTCCATTGCATGTACATGCACCTCAAGCTGCATGGCACCGCATCCTAAGCCATGCACACACCCTGTTCAGAAGACAGGGCAGACGAAACTTAACATGCATGCTTGCGAGACGCAGAGGACCGATGTGAAGCCTGGCAGGCAGGGCGGAGTGCAATGAACATCTGCATTTGTGCTGCATGCGTTCTGCTTACAGGCGACGGTGGTCGATGTCTTCTAGACGTTTGAGACTCAAATTATACATGGCCAATGACAAGAATATCATCAAGTCTGCAATTACTCACTAGCAAGACAGCTGCAGCGCCATGAGAGAAGGTGGATAAACACATTGATCAACTTTGAGTGATTGATCCACCAGGCAATATTTTGCTAATTCAGGCTTTACATACATACACAGGAAAATGACAGATGTACTCGGATGCCTTTTGCAGTGCCGCAGATACTTCTACTACGACTACGAACTAAACTCGCCATAGCCACCGTATTCGCCTGCGACAGGAGCACGATTTTGGTTCTGGCTTTCGGCAGAGTTCATCACAGAGGCTCCGGCACGGTGGTAGAGGCGACTAATGAGTTACGGAACTAGGTAGAGGTTGTAGAAAGGAGACGATGTAAGGGTACGAAGGCTCAATGTATATCAAGGTGCCCGCCTGCGATGACGACATTGCAAGCGGTCGTAATCTAAGGTCACGTTTCCAATCTCCATTAGGGACATTTCAAGAGCGTTTGAATCTTGCAACGTGGCATATTACTCAGAAGGGCAGCTTAATCATTGATTTCATCTTAGAATGCCTTGAATTGGCAGCTCAAGACGCTCTCAAGGTCTGAACATTGCAAGGGCGTTTAGAAATTTCCGACATTGAGCAACATGTCGGGCCCAGACGTGGAGTTTTTTGGCCTGAGATTCCGGTGTTCAGTGAGTGGTATGCGTGCCTGGATGCTGCAAGAGCAATGAGGCAGCGGCGGTTTTAAGAGATGTTGAACTCACGAGCGACGGCCTGTTACGTGAGGCGCGAGATAGGACGAGAATTACTTGCAAGCCAGCGCAGCACAGGATGAAATGATGATGGAGAGAATGTGGAGATAGGGAAGAGATAGGAGAGAGGACTGGGGCGTCGAGAGGGCAACGGTCTCTAACGATAGAAATGCTGCAAGGGCCAAACCTGTAACCTAGAACTTAAGTTGATACGCAAATGCTCGAAACTCACTTCTCCCGGGCGATTCTATACTTGACTCAAGGCGGACAGAGGTGATGGCTCACACGCGCAGGAAAACAATTCTCGTGGGGGAATTTTGAGGGAAAGAGGAACTTGCTTCATTTGAAGGCAGGAGGCTGCCTTTGTAATACATGGAAAGAATGCCAGTCTGCTGCTGTGCTCTTGTTCGTAATGCGCGTTAAGTGGCACTCTAGGAGATTTGAGAGATGGAGAACAAGCGTAGAGTATGTTATGTAGAGCTTGCAGGCATCTCTTTGTACCATTCGTTCTTCTTCACCTTCTTGTCATAGTGATTGAGTAGCTTTAACACATCGCGTATATTCAGGAACTTGTTGGCCGCCAGGACCTAGATGTAACACTTGTTAATGCATTCTGTTGCTGCAAATGCCAGAAGATCCACTCACGATGAGGAAGGCCCTCAGTGCCGCCCAGCCGGCAGCACGATGTATCATTACATAGTATTCGTCAATAAAAGTTTGCACACCCGAACAGTACGTCTCATCTTCGCGACGGAAAGTAAATGTTACCCTAGTGTGTACGTCCAGTAGAGTCACGATACTGGCACAAAATTTACGCACCGGTTGAGAGATATTCACCTATTCCACAATGCCATCATCACCTTGTCCTCATCCAGGACGTCCGCGAGCTTATAGATCTCCTCCTCGCGGTCAACGATTGACCATGCAAGGATGCCATATGGTTCAAGCAGCAATTCATTGAGCAGGTCATAGATCCGCGGGCCACCTGGGCGGCACAACTCAAGCGGGGGTTCCGCGGCAGGCCTGAGGGGATTGGCCTCAGGCGGAGGGACGAGCTCGCCTGTTTCGGTGATGCCTGTACGTGGTGTGCGTCCGGGCGGCGTGGGCTGCCATTGAAGAGCGAGTTCCTTGTACTCGCGCTGGAGTATGATGTTGAGACTCGATGTGAGTGTGGTGGTGTAGGAGGATTGTGAGCTGATCTCGCTTGTGTCGGACTCATCGACTTGCATCGGCAAGGCAGATGTATATTGCCAAGCATCAACCAGATCCTCAACGATAGATGTAGGGGATCTGGAGAAGGTCAGAAGTCTCAAATGTGCTAGCATAAAATGTACGTACGGCAACTTCGGCGGCAAATCAACATATTCTAACTCGTCATCTGAGGACTCTTGCGCTCGCAAGATCTCCTCTTCTTCCTCTTCATCATCTTCGGATGGTTCATCTTGCGTTGGCTCAGGCAGATGAAACATGTAATGTCCAGTATCACCCTATAATCACCATCAGTTCGCACAAGAAATGCACGAAGCGGAGCACTGACCTCTGTTCTCCATGTCATCTGCACATCAGCGTGGTTTTGGGCAAGGTGATAGCAGAGCATTTGTTCTGTGTTCAGATGGCCAAGCAGATCGCAGAATGGACACCGCCACTCTGTCACCAGCTCACGATACTCAGACCAACGTGGAGTGGGAACTTGTCCTGGGAAGAGGTCTTGCAGGACACGGAAGCGATAGGTGTATTTAATGGCCTTTTCAGGTTGTTTTGGCGGGAGAGTAGGTACTCCCCTGAGTTCACAAGTGCGTATGAAAGATTTACGGAGATTCCACAAGAGGAAAGGCACCCGCTTGTGGATTTGTAAGCGTATTCCCACTCTGAACGATGCAGCTGCCGCCAGGAAGCCTGCTTGGTCTCCTTGGGGATCTTCTTCCTCAGAATCGCTGGAGGTAACGACTATTTCTTGGATGCGCTTCGCTTTTTGAGGCCTGGCCAAGGTAGCAGAGAGGGGTGTAGTCGCGCGCGCCGTGGAAGATCCTGGCGAGTCAATAGACAGGATATCTCGCGCAGCAATTTTAGTAGATTTTCTGCCAACCTGAGACCATCCTGTGATGGATTTCGTGACTCCAAGGGAGCTAATAGAACAATTGAGATATATATAAATCCATGAAATGGGAGAACGTACTCGTCTGAATCTTCGTCATCAGACATTTGCACCAGTTCCCCGTCCCGCAGGTGAACTCTCCTGCCCAGAGGGGGAGTATAATGAGGAGTGGAAAATCTTCTCGCCACGGATGCCCTAGGAGAGTGTATGTTCATGGTGGATATCCTTGAGCCAACGCGATGAGAGTCTTGGTCGTTGTCATCGTGTTAAGGAGAATCCAGAAAGCTGAGTACGTCTGGGTAGGTGGACTTGGTTGCCGTCAGATAGAGGTTAGATCCACTAGGTGTAGAGTAGTTCGGCACGCCGCCACGCTGAGGATGGCCTCTGAAGAGATGTTCTCGCCCTCGGAAGGGAACTTGGAGCGGAACTTGGAGCGGATCGGGGCGCGGCAGCAGAGAATGATGCTGAGAGTACAGATTTGGGTGATCAGGCTGATGGGACACCTGCGGAGAATTTCCTGGCCTGTGTGCGAAGCTGTCGGACCCTCCCATGGCCGGACGAGATGAGGAACTGGCTGTGGGCTGTGGATAGTATGTGCGGTTGGGCGGTATCCGCTCATCCCTTTGCCGATGCGGATACATTGTATATCCTATGCCATCACTACTATCAGCAATCCTCATGAGGCGAAAGTCCTCTACTCGTACTATTGATGTTCTGACGGCCGCAGCAGACGGTGGTTGTAGACGTGTGGTGGACAGAAACAAGTATGGCTGAAGTGCCCAAGCCTTACTTGCCATGTCTGCACGCGCTTTACGTGGCCTGAGCCACGCTTCCTTCTTGCCACACCCTAATTCTCTCGCCCCGGAGGGAACTTGGACGTCGCTACTAGGTATGAGACTTCGCTGTCTGCTGGCTCTTCTACTACTCACCGCCGTACTCTCTTCGAGTCCCTCCGTCCAGGTCAAATAGCGCACGTCATAGGCCCTTCTGCCGTTCCTTGTTGAACTACTGTAAGCTTACTCTGTCCTTATGATGTACACAGGAAGACCTGCCACAGAGAGACTATTGCCATAGAAGATCCCGACCCCTATTTCTCTCCGCTCAACCGCTTCAGCCTCCCAGAGTGTTCCTCGCTCATAGTTCACGAACAGGCTTATTGCAATGCGCTTTAGCTGCAGGGTTTTGGCTGAACCAGGCGATCTTGCGGCTGCAGAAGCTACCTTTGCACTACATTCTTCGACGCCGAGAGTGGAAACAGCTTACCAGTTTCACTCGGACATCCAAGCTGGACGTCGGGTCTCAGGTAGACTGGTACGGAGATGTTGTGTGCAACGTGGAGAGTCCTCAAAGGCGGGCATCAGAGCAATAGAAGTTGGGGAAACGGTGGCACGGAATGGGTTCGTGGTTTCATCTTTCGATCATGGCTGCTCACCGAATTTTGTTCTATGTAGTTCTACCCCTAACGTTCAAGTCTTATCGTTTGATCATATTTTACCTTCACCTGATCTTACCCTCGGCCGGCCGGCGCAAACAGCGGCCTTGTATGCTAATCTGACTTCGTCAAACTTCCGCAGTCTTCACTCTTTCCTCTATGCTGCGTCAGCTGGTCCTAGACCGCACATACGGTACATCTTACGGCACATTTTGCCGGCGGGACATGCCTCGGACAGGGAACGGATGTACCCCTCCGGCTACAGTGTTGCACTTGACTTGAAGAAGATGGACTATCTCGCCACCGCAGACAGAGTGAGTAGTACCCCATCGCTCCTTTCACTCATACTAATATCGAGCGAACGAACAGACTCAGCGAATGACTCCGATGCCTCGGACAACACCTTCAGTGCACCTGGAGAGGCTGACGCCATTGCCGCCCTGCTGCAACAATACCCCAAGGACTCCGACACGGACTATACCATTCCTCTCACCTCGGACGAACTCTCTAACATCGGCCTTCAGGCCACACAGCTCATTGCTGATGCCTCAGACCCACTGGCGACACTCAAGCAACTCTCGCAAAACTTCCCCGTACGCGAGTTCTATCGCTTGCTGTGTCGTCGTCAGCAACGCACTCGAGGACGAGATCGGGTCAAGGACACCAGGGCCCTGTCTAGTGCGAGCATGGCCTGGCTCAAGGGCGTGCCGCTCATGGAGAGCGACATGAACCCGCTATCGTACGTTCATCTCCCATCTGCCCGTTGCAGCCAGCTGACAATCGGACCCCAGGTTGCTGCGCCTCCTGCGCAAGGAAGGCGCGGTCATGTGCCAGCTCGCCGCGCTTGGGCCCAACACGACGCAGTCGTTCGACGCCTCACGCACCGCGCCGTCAGCGCCGCCCAGACCGACGCGGACGCGCTCGATGTGCTCTTTGACGCGAGCGACTGCCCCGAGGGCGGTGCGCCCATCCTTGCCCACCACCGCTGCGCGCTAGGTGGGAACTTCGTCATGGCCAGGATACCATTCTTCATGACACCATTCTCCTCGAGTCGTGGCATCTCCTGCATGCCGGCAGGCGGTGGAGTGTGAACGGTACGGGATCATTCGAATCCAAATCCAGCGGAAAGCAATTTAGCGCCAGCCGCGTTCAATGTTCATGCATGCAACCTTCCTGCTCGAAGGTGTACCTTCCCTGTCCGGAGGACTCCTCGTCCTGTGCCCTTGTGGTACGGGCAGGAAGCTTGTGACGACGCATGCGCGCACGCGAGAGAAGGGGAGCCAATGGCTTAGGTGGGCAGCATCCTGGCCAGCACATCCGATTTTTCTCGGGTAAGCCCTCCTGTTGTAAGATGTTGAACCAATTGCTGACATTTCCGTGCAGGTCAATGGCCTCAGCAGCTGGCCAAGTACAAGGCTATCGTCACTCGTCTCATGGCCATCGGAGAACTTGCCGCCATCCCGCTCGAGGATCGTCTCGAGGCCGACGTCGAGGAGATCGCTGCCCATGGTTTTCGTGCTCTTGCCGCTGCGTACGAAGAGATTGAGGGCATCGATACCGAGGCTCAGGTGGGCAGCATCTTGGCCAGCACATCTGATTTTTCTTGGGTAAGCCCTCCTGTTGTAAGACGTTGAATCAGTTGCTGACATTTCCGTGCAGGTCGACGGCTTCAGCAGCGCACCAAGTACAAGGCTATCGTCACTCGTCTCACAGTCATCGAGGGACTTGCCGCCGTCCCCGTCATTTGCTCTCATATAACCGGTACGCTTGCCACCAACATGTTTGCGATCGACAAGATCACCCTGAAGACATACGGCCCCCTCTCTGCCGATGATGCCATCCTCCTCTCCGCCTACGCTTCTCATACCAAGAACTTGGACGCCGCCGATGTCTGCGCTGTCGGTACCCTCAGCGATCCGCCGCGCACGCGTGCCGGCATCAAGCTCCTGGACTTCAAGCCCTTCAACCTGTACCGAAATCACCTATCTCGAGGAGTCGTCCGGCGAACTCGAACGTGTTGCTAAGGGTATGACCGGTATTATTATCGAGTTCTGCACGCGCAACAAGACTTACTTCCAAGCTCGAGGATCGTCTCGAGGCCGATGTCGAAGAGATCACTGCCTGTAGTCTCCGTGCCCTTGCTGCCGTGTACTAAGAGGTTGAGGGCACCGACCCCGAGGCTGAAGGCAACAGCTTCGAGCTCATTGGTCTTCTATCCATTTTCAACCCCCTCCCCTCCCTCCCCCTCGCGAGGACACCAAGCGGACCATCGACGACGCTAACGCTCTCGGTATCAGGGTCAAGATGGTTGCCGATGACCAGCTCGCTATTGCGAAAGGAGACCAGCCGTCGTCTCGGTCTCAGCAACCACACATATCCCGCCAAGGTTCTTGGAGAGGCGCCCGATCCAAGCTCTCGCTTCCGGATCCTCGACGAACAATTCTCAATGCGGGCGGTTTCGCTGGCGCCTTCCCAGAGCACCAGTACGAGATCATTAAGCATCTCCAGGGTCTCGGCCACCTTTGCACCATGATTGATTGTTGACGGTGCCAACGGCGCCCCTGCAATCTCGTGCTAACGTCGGTATCGCCGTCGAGGGTGCCACCGACGCAGCTTGTAGTGCCGCCAATGTCATCTTGACTGGGCCTGGTCTGTCCACCATGTCCATACCATCTGCGGTTCGCATGTCATCTTCCAGCGTATGTGCAACCACTCAATCTACGCCTGCGCCGTCACGATCTGTATCATCGCCTGCTTCGCGGTTCTCTCGTTCACCTTCCAGTTTGACCCCACACCGTTCATGGTCATGATCATTGCCCTGCTTAACGACGGTACCATCATGACCCTGTCTATCGACCGTGCTCTGCCTTTGAATACGCCCGACAGTTGGAGTCTGCCTGTGATCTTCGCATCTGCCTTTACCTACGATATCTATCTCGCTCTCTTGACGTAAGTGTTTTTTGTCGTCGTTGCTATCTGCCATTGCTAATGTCCCTATGTAGGATCACCCTGGTCGCTGTATGCATTCGTACCACCCCCTCCTTCGACAAGTTCGGTGCAACCTCATGGACGGTGCGGCTATCACTCGTTACACCTTAATGATCTCAAGCCCACACCATCGTCTACCTCTAGGTTGCCACCATCTTGCGGGCGCTCATCTTCATCACACGTTTGCATGGCTTCTTTTTCGTGGAATGTCCCTTGGCAACCCTGTTCTCGCTTTCCGTCTTGTGCAGCTCATATCTCATCGGCCATCGCTTCATACAGCGACTGGGGCTTCACTGAGGTTGCGGCTGTTGAAGGTTCTTGGATTGGTATCACCTGGGTTTGGTACGTTCATCATCATGCCTTGGTGCTACATGTATTGACCACAAGTTCAGGATACCTGCTGGTTCTTGTCCATGGGTTTCGTCAAGTTCGCGATGAAGGCCACCAGCATCAAGTACCTGCGTAACTCTCTCGCGGCCAGCGTCCGTGAGGAGACTTCGCAAGCAGCCGCAGACATCCCCATCACTCATACCCAGTTGCGTGCCACGTCGATCCACAACTCACTGTACTCGATCGCGTTGGTTTCCTCCGCCGCGCCGCCCACAGGGTTAGCATCCAGCAAAAGGTCTCGGTCAAGCCCGATGAGCTTCTCCGGTTCTCGAGTATCCAGACCACACAGACTGGCTCCGTTCTGGCCTGCCACCTTTCGCGTGCTCAGGCATAAATGTGGAATCGGAGCACCATTTATCGCTAGCCATCCCTTGTCTTACATGTCTCTAATCATTGTCGCCCAAGGTCAACGCAGCAACTCCTAATGTCGTTATTCCCTTTCTGTCTTGCTACATCTATTCTCCTACCGCCGCGCTGTTCACGCAGGGATGTTGACATCGGGTACCCGACCGCTCCATCTTTGTTAATGTTCTTCATCGAAGGCTGTGTAGTCCTCACGCGTAAGTTCTGGTTCTGCCTCCACAACTCTGTCTTGATCTGGCCTATGCCTCATTGACATGTGTTTGTGTGCATATATGAAGCATTGCGCAGAGTGATGCGCACCTTAATTGACCGTGTAGATGTACGGACAGACCATCTTGGCTCGAGTGTGCACTGCAAAGGGTGGAGCTGACTGTGGAGGCGGCTCCTGCCAGGAAGGAATGGCGACATGCTGCTAGGACATCGGTGGGCTCTGTGGGTATCCGAGGCGTAGTGTCCAGGCTCCATGAGTTTGGCGAGGTAGAGATGGCTCGATGGTGATGGTGGCGGTGAGAAAGAGAGTCGACAACCGCGCACTTTGTGATTTTGCAGAGCATTATTGCGCGTCGTGAATCCTGCAGGTACTGACAGCTCTGCGACAAATATATAAGCACAGTGTACGAGGATCACAAAGATGCAAGGTGTCGCAGGAGTGCTAAAGGAACCAAAAACCAAGATGGGCAGCGCAAGTAGTATAAGGTTTGAAGAGACGGCGTAAAAGAGGCTGGGCTGGGCCGCATCACTGTTTGATGGGGCGGGGCGCCCGTCGGGATGACGAGGAGAGAAAGTACACGGTCAGGCCCCACGCAGAACATTTACGGTCAGGTTTCATGCTCAAAGTTGACGGTAAGCAAGTCTCACAAGGAAAGTTTACTGTATTCCTAGTCTGAGCTTGAAATTCACCCATATTCACGGTTTCCCATCATATTTACACGGTTTGAATTTTTGAGCAAATCCACCGCCATATGTCATCACAAGAACGCAGATCCTTCCTCTTCGCCCTTTCACGGGGTGAAGAGCTCGAAGAGCTGGAGTGCATTCAGCATGGCCACTGCCCCCTCGACGCCGCTGTAGTGAGAGCAGACACTGAATTTGCAAGCGTCCAAAACACTTAGCGATCCGCAACGAAGAACTTCATCTGCAGATTTGTAGACCAACGGTCTTGCGTGGACGAGGGGGACTAAACTGGCCCGAGATAGCTTCCAGGAATCACTCAAGGCCCCTGGATCCGCAGTGGCAAATATGGTCCCGCCAAGGGGACTACCGTGACTGTGTTCCAGCTCACAGCTCTGAGCACACCAGCGTTGACATCGCACGTACCCTTCTCGAGCACAACTTCGCCATCGACGCACAGGAACAGGACAGGTGGACACTGCTACATATTGCTGCACAATAAGGCCACGTCAACATTGCATGCACTCTTCTCTAGCACAGCAAAGTTGTCGACGCGCAGGACAAGAACGGATGGACCCTGCTGTCCTATGCAGCCTGAAATGGGCACATGGATGCTGCCCGCGTTCTCCTTGACAGTGGCACGGATGTCACAGCCATGAATATTGATCGACTACGCGCACTACACCTGCGGCGGTAGAGAAATGTGATGGCGCTATGTGCCTGCCTCTCGACTGCAGTGCCAGCATCCATACAGAGAGCCCACCAGACGGTGAACTTACAGCCCGAAACGTGCATGAACATTGAGGATGGAGCGCGCCGCACATGTACTGTGCAGCCCAGGACGCACACGTGGAGGACCGGCGAACTGGAGGGGATTGCGGTGCTGTTGGGAGGAGACTGGCGGAGGGTACCGACAGGTGAGTGGGGGTTATGCCGGATGGGCAAGGTCGAAAGCTCCGAAGCAGTGATGTGAGAAGCGAGCGAAGAGAGATTTTGAGGGATAGCACATGAGTCTGGCTGTATGTTTGTAAGCTTGCTCAGCAGATGTCTCACATGTTCTTGGGATAGATTATTCTAGGAGGCTAGTATGCGCATATGTCATTGCAGAATGAAATGTGACATTTGGGAGCTTCATAGCTGCATACCTTACCATAATCTGCCTGCCTCCAAGCTGGCATAGTGCTCCCGTTGACATCATTGAACAAAACGAGAACATATTCTCATAAGCGTGCCCTCGATGATCAGTCCTCATTGCGCTGCTCTCCTAAGCTGTCTTGAGAGTCGAGACTGTCTCCTCATTGAGCACCGCGACGCCTGTGCTGAGCTGCGATGTGGGAGATGGCCTGAGCGTGCACGGAAACTAGCAGCGGACGAGAGTGGATTGCATCGTGCATGAGAAGATCGCGGCGACGGCCAGGAAAGGGAGGGTATATCCACCAACCGACGAGCTTCACGATGTGCTTGAGGACTCGTTACGTGCTCGCGTCAAACCCGCCCCACGAGCATGCACAATGGCAGGGACATGATGGGAAGCCAGAGCAAGCCCTTCATATATGATTTCCTTCCTGTCACCTGGTGTTGGCAAGACGCCTTGGCACAGGTATTCAGTGATGGCGGCTTGGTGAGCAACATCCGCAAAATACCATATTGATTGTGGACCTCGTTGGGATCCTAGACCTGTGCCATGTGTACAGCGTACGCTGGACATTGAACCACCAATGGCATGCCCGACGATGGCTGGCTCGAGCTGGACCAGTTTGAAGCATGTCCAGATTTCTATAGGCACGGTTATTATGGGCAATAGGAAGACGACGAAATGAGATAACTTACCAGCAGCAGGCCGATACCTTTGCAGGCATGAGGTAGCTCAGCGAAGGAAATCTTGTTAACACAATAAACCTCGGGCACCCAGTGCTAGCGCATGTGGCACTAACGGCTCAGAGCAGACGCGCGCATCACAGTGCCTATAGCTGGCGCATCTCAGTTTCTTCTGCCACTGTCTCTATATTCTATAACTCCTCGCCGCTCTTGCAAAAGTACGGCCATGGCAGCGGACGTTCCAACACTCAGTATCACGCTGCTTGGTGCAGGACAGGAAGTCGGCCGGTCCTGCTGTGTCTTGCAATACAGGGGAAGGGCCATTGTCTGTGACACGGGAGTGCCAGTGCATCCTGTGTACAGCAGCATTGCCTTTCATCGACGAGCTAGACTGGAGTACCGTAGACGTCATCTTAATAACTCAGTATGTTGCTCGCCTGCGAGTCGCTGTCACGCTGAAGCTATAACTTGTTCAAGCTTCCATCTAAATCATGCTGCCGCTTTGACATATATCATGGAAAAGGTGTGTTTGCGTGCTCCCTACCACATCTAAAAGCTCGCTTGCGCGTATATACGAACTTCAGAGATGGAAAAGGCAAAATTTACATGACACATCCAACCAAGGCCTTGCACAAGTTCATGATGCAAGACTTTGTCCGCATGGAGTTCGTTCTCTCTTGCTCGTAATCCTCACAACCAGCTGACAGTCAATTCTAGTTCCTCTTCTTCTGATGCTCTTTTCAGCCCAATGGAGCTATCAGTGTCCCTTGCTTCTATCATCCCTGTCTCCGCCCACCAGGTCATTTCACCATGCCCCGGTGTCATGTTTACGCTGTACTGCGCGGGTCACGTTCTTGGTGCATGCATGTTCTTGATCGACATTGCTGGACTTAAAATCTTGTATACTGGCGACTACTCTCGTGAAGAAGACCAACATCTCGTCAAAGCCGAAGTGCCGCCCGTTCACCCTGACGTGCTCATTTGTGGAAAGTACCTTTGGTGTTCAAACTCTAGAGGGCCTGGAGGAAAAGGAACTGCAGTTCACCAACTCGGTGCACAATTTCATCCAACGCGGTGGACATGTCTTACTTCCGACCTTCACCCTGGGTCGTGCACAGGAGCTCCTGCTGATTCTGGACGAGTACTGGAAGAAGCATCCTGACCTGCACAATGTTCCCGTTTACTATGCTTCTAGCCTGGCAGGGAAATGTATGGCCATGTATCAGACATACATCCGCACCATGAACTCGAACGTACACTTTTGCTTTGCCAAACGCAACAACCCATTTGTGTTCAAGTGAGCCCCGCTTGCTTCAATGTACCGTGATTTAGGACTAACACTATCCCTCCAGGCATATTTCAAATGTGCCTCACAATCACGGCTGAGAGTGAAAAATCACCGAAGGCCCTTCGTGTGTCATTCTTGCTAGTCCCGGTTTTATGGAATTGGGTCCAAGCTGCGAACTCCTGGAGCTTTGAGCCTCCCGACTCTCGGAACGGCACTATCCTTACCGGTTACTCTATTGAAGGTACAATGGTTAGGGTGAGTGGCTATGCAGTCTCTCGGAGGGCATGTCATGTTGTGTACAATGTCTTGTCTTGTATGTACATCACCGCAAAATAACGTACTTTTTCTTTCCATCCAGTCCTCCCGTTGAACTTATGTTTGTCTCTAGGATATTCAAACGGAACCGGATGAGATTCCATCAGTCAAGGAACACATGATCCCGCACAAGCTTTCCATCGATGAAATCTCTTTCGGAGCACATGTCGACTATTCTCAGAATTCTGAGTTCATTGAGCTAGTCCACACCCAGCACATTGTGGGCTGTCTTGCCAAAAGTCAGGCTCTCGCCCATACTCAACCCCAGTAATCCCCTTTAGGTTCTCGTCCACGGTGAACAAAATGCAATGGGCCGTCTACGTGCTGCCCTGCAAGACTGCTACAAAAACCGTGATGAGGATGTCAAGATTCACACGCCCCGGAACCTCGAACCATTGCAGCTGACATTCCACAGCGAGTGAGTAGCAAAAGTAGGTGCCCTCATTTACAACTCACTTTCTTCCTGACATCAGTCTTGTCTAGGCCATTGGCACACTGGCAGTGAAGCCTCCACAGCCCAACGAGGTTATATCCGGCCTTTTGGTATCGAAAGACTATTCTTATACACTTCTTGACCCACGCGACCTCCGTGACTTTGATGGCTTGACGACGACGGCTGTGATGCAACGGCAGAAGATTGCTCTGAACGTTGGCTGGGAGCTCGTTTGCTGGCATCTGGAGGGCATGTATGGCAAGATTGAGGACGGTGTCGACAAGGATGATATACCGACAATGCGGGTAAGTGACCAAGTGGCTTTCTGACAGGATGCATACCAATTTTTGTTGCAGGTCATGGGCACAGTAGACGTGAAGCAGACGTCAGAACATGAATTGCACTACGGGCATGAGCTGATTTTAGATCACCTGAAATGTCCTGGTCAAGCCATCAAACTGTTTCATTTTCGAAGACTTTACTGGGGCCTTCTGGCGTCCCAAAATGATAGATTTGCTACCACTTTCGTAGCCATTTGCGGTGCAGGAAAATGATAAATTTTGTGTAGCCTGAAATGAACCTGAAATGATTCAATATGGCTACATTTCAGTACGCGCCTAGACGAGGCAGATGGTGCAATACCTTAATCTAAGGAGCTGGCCTTTGCATAGACTGTGGCGAGTTTAAGCGAGGTGCTCCGGAAACAGGTCGAAGCAGTGCTGGACATGGCGCTGTCAACCATCAGCTCCCTCAACGAGTCCTTCACCTCCGCGGTGCGATTTGGCACAGAGAAATACACACCGTTGACCGAAAAAGAGAAACAAAATTCTGAGGAGGATGCGACAGGTGATGCAGCCCAAACCAACGAAATGTCTAGCTTGGACAACACGCTGCCCGCTGCTATGAACGTGAATTCGCCAGTACAGGACTTGCATGCGGCATCAAAACAAGAGCCAGAGAAGCACTCGGCATCAGAACTGACAGATTCTCAGAAAGTGACTGAGGGCGATGAGGCTCCGTCGCCTATGGATGTCCAAGAGGATATACAAAATTCAACAGCTGACGCTCGAGGTGTGTCATTACAGCAAGACCAGAACGCCTCGTCGCAAGGTCTCGCAGCCACACAAGGCAGATGCAAGGAGTGTCGTGGAGCAAAGCAAGAAGGCAATGACAGCGAAGAAGCATCATCAGGTGACGAGCCGGAACCAGAAGTCTGTAGCTGAAACGCATATGAGGAGTTTATTGAGTGTGTTGTCTTCGTACTGAGTACATGGTTATAATGATAATGGCTGGTGGAGTATA